AGCAGAGCTCTCTGACTGGCAGTCCTGGGTCCTTCCCGTTCCTGGTGTCTCCCCAGGGTAGCAACAGAGGTGACACCTGGGCCTCCCACCTCACCACACGCTATGCTTTAAGTCTCTACACTGCCTTTGCAGAACCCGGACCTCCTGTCTTTGTTATCAGCCCCCATTTCCTCCATAAGCACAGGGCAGCAGCTGGGGTCTTTCAGAGGTGCCGCTTCCCATAGGCACCCTCATCGTGCGCACCGAACCCTGGGGCAGGGTGTGGCTGCCACACCCCTCGGTGTCCTGCACTGTGCATGAGTGTGAGGGCCAGGATGACCCCCACCACTCAGTGCCAGACACTTCCACCCCACCCCCGGGATCCACTTTCCAGCGCTCATTCCTCAACTGATGCCCAGTAAGTCCCTCCGTGTTCCAGACCCCTTGGGGTGCGCTGCACAGGAGGGAGGGAATGTGGCTACAGCAACTCATAGCAACGCTGCAGGGTGGGGGGGTGGGCAGACCTCACCTCCGGGGCGGCAGGGCCACGGAACACATGCAGATGACGGTTCTGACTGCTGCCAGCCACCCCACCCCGGCAAGTCCGCTTGAGCCCAGAATCCCCTGCGCTGATATGGAGCTGGGCAGAAGGAGGCCCTAAAAGAGGCTTTTCCATGTGGGGTGGGGGTGTGGGAGGCCCTCCCCTTCCCCTGGCCTGCTGGCAGCCTCTGCCCTAATAGGATGAGTCACCCCCACGCCCACCCCACTCCCCCAGGGCAGAGCCGGCCTGAGGTTGGGGATCGGGAGGTGATTATCTGGGGATGCACAGCAGCTGTTCCCCAGATTAGAAGGCAGCTGGGGCTGCAGCAAAAGGGAATTCGGAGAAGGGAGCTCCTGTCCTAGAGACGCCCAGGAAAGACTGCTGCCTGTGGAGGGTGTGGTCTCTGGTCGTGCCACCTGCCTCGTGGGATCGGCAGCAGCTCTGTGGGGCTTCCTGGCCTGAATACACAGATAGAGGTGCACACACTTGCCAGTCACAAAGGGAGGCAGAGAGGCAGAGACAGCTGGAGCGAGAAAGCAAGCGCCCACCTGCTCGTCACTCCCCAGAAAGAGCCAAGGCTGGGTCAGGCCAAAGCCAGGAGCTGTGCACTCAGTGGAGGTCTCCCCCATGGGCGACAAGAACCCAACTACTGGAGCTGCCTCCCAGGGTCTTCATTAGCAGGAAGCTGGAGTCAGGAGCCAGAGCCGGGAGTTGAACCCAGGCCCCTGTCCTAACCCGCATCTTCCCCTTCAGGCCAAACGCCTGCCCCAGGGCGCTGGCCTCTCAGGACCCTAGGACGCGCCCAGGACGGCGCCAGGTACCCCTTCCCCTCGAGCTCTCTCGCACGGAAGGTGGCTTTCCTTCTCCCTCCTCCCCCAGGGGAGGCAGCTGAGATTCAGGGACGCAGGGACTTGCTCATGGTCACCCGCTGAGGAGCCAGGACACAGACCTGGTGTGTGTGAGCCCAGAGCACTCACACACCCCGGCAATGCCGGGGCACCGCGCCAAGAGGGTGGCACAGAGCAGGCAGACCTGGCCTGCAGGCAGCAGGGGCCCCCAGGGGATGCCCACCGGGGAGGGAGAAGGGACAGCTACAGTGACTGATGGCCCAACAGCTCCTCTTGCTCACTCTTGGAATTGCTCCATGCCTCATGGGTGCTCCAGCTGTGGCCTGTCCGCCCCTGACGCCCCAGCTTCTCCTTAAACCTATCACTGAGTTCTCCGAAAGCAGGATGCTGCAGATACCAGATGCTGGGTGCGTACTTGGGGAAATTGCATTTTATCCTACGTAAATTAGACCTCAACCAATCCCAGGCGTCTCTCCAAAAACTACACAGAGCACCTTGCGGAGGGGCCCTGCCTGGGGCTGAGCGTCCTGTGCTTGCTGGATTCACCCACATCACAGTGATGATGGTTCCACAGCACCAGGGGCCTTCGTGGCCTTCCCCCCTCCCACCTCTTAAGCAAGGCCAAGAGTCAAACACTTGAGAAGGGAAACCCAGGGCCCAGTGCTAATGCAAGATCTTTAAAGCAAGAACTTCCTGACCAGGAAAATGGCCACACAGTAGACTAGGGGTGGGTCGGGGTGGGGATGAGAGGAGTCACGGGACCCTCCCCCTGTGCCCGGCTCCCCCCCCCCCACTTGGTGCACGCTCAGCCCCGGCCTGGAAACCGCAGGTGACTCAGGGAATCTTAAGTGGCGGTTGCTAGGTTACGTGCTTCCTCCATGTGCACTCAGTGGAAGGAGTTAAGGCTGTCACCTGGCTGTGGGGGAGGGGGAGGGGGTGCAGAGACGCCAGCACTGCCCGAAAATGAGCCACGGGCCCAGGCCCACCCTCGGGTGCTTTCCTAGGGCCCACGCGTCCAGAGCCACGGCCTGCACTGCCTGCGGTCCCTGCAAATACAGGAGCCTCGGGTTAGAACAGAGGGGACCGGCAGTGGAGGGGATCCCTGTGCGGGTCTGGGCGCGTCCCTCACCGCAGCTGGACGCCAAGGGAGCCGCCAGGCTTGGTTTCCTCCATGGGGCAGGAGTCTTTCACGTGTGATTTCATCGTCATAAAGAGCATCCGATCTGGAATTCACAACCGAGCCCCGCCCCGCACGGCTTGCCTGTCACAGCAAGACGTCTCATTTCACCGAGTCTCTGGTCTGCCCTCCTGGGTGCCGACTCCTGCCCTGGCAACCTCCCCCCAACCCCGGGATGGGGCGGGCCCCGTGGCTCGGGGAGGGCTAGGCTGCTGCTGGAGATGCCTGCATCCCCATATGGAAGCGCTGGTTTGAATCCCAGCTGCTCTGCTTCCGATCCAGCTCCCTGCTAATGCACCTGAGAAAGCAGTGAAGATGGCCCAAGCACCTGCACCCCTGCCACCCACCCAAGTGGGAGATCAGGATGGGGCTTTTGCTTCATGGGACTGGATGGTCTCTGTCTCTCCGCCTTTCTTTCGTGCCTTCTGTTTACATTTTCTACCAACCTTGTATTAGTGTTCATGACAGGCAGAGTGGACAGTGAGAGAGAGAGAGAGAAAGATCTTCCTTTTGCCGTTGGTTCACCCTCCAATGGCCGCCGTGGCCGGCGCACCGCGCTGATCTGAAGCCAGGAGCCAGGTGCTTCTCCTGGTCTCCCATGGGGTGCAGGGCCCAAGGACTTGGGCCATCCTCCACTGCACTCCCTGGCCACAGCAGAGAGCTGGCCTGGAAGAGGGACAACTGGGACAGAATCCGGCGCCCCGTGTGCCAGTGCTGCTAGGTGGAGGATTAGCCTATTGAGCCGCGGCGCCGGCCTCGTGCTGTTTTGTGGAAGGGTTTGCTCACTATCCTTCAGGGCAAGCTGGGACCCCAAGGGTGAAAGAGCAATGTTGGGCGATTTCTGCAACACTTCCCTAATTCAGACCACTCTCTGGGGATTTCTAGGCTCTCAGTGCACAGGGAAAGTGGAACACAGCCTTCTGGGAAGGTTCTAGAAGAGCTTATTTTTAACAACAGAGAATTCAAATAAAAAGCAATGGAATTTTAACAAATATTTACTTCAAAAGGCAGAGAGACAGAGAGCTCCCGCCCCCTGGTACACTCCCCAGATGTCTGCAACAGCCAGGGACTGAAGCCAGGAGCCCACACTCAGCGCAGGTCTCCCACCAGGGTGGCAGGAAGCCTCAGTCAGGAGCTGCAGCGAGAACCAAACCGAGGCACTGGCTGCAGGACAAGGACAGCCAGGAAGCCACACGCCCACCCCAACAGTGAAACCCTTACGCCAAGAACTCAGGACACTGCCCAGGTCCCCGGCAGGCTGTGACTCTCGTTTCTCGCAGGGACGCAGCCTTGGTGCCCGTCTCGACTTTCCCTTTGCTGGCTATGGATGCTGGCAATGGTATTTATTCCTAGGGGTCCACCAGGCCCTTGCCGAAGGTCCAAAAGTGCACAGAACACTTTACAAATACAATCTCGTTTGCTCATCACCAACCCCTGCAAGGACACATCCGTGTCGTGGAATGCTACTCCGGAATAAAACAGGATGCCCTGCTGATCCCTGCAACAACTGGGGTGCTCTCCAGGGAGTTATGCTAGGCCAAAAAAAAAAAAAAAAAAAGATTCAATCCCCGAAGGTTGCATAGAGCACCATCTGTTTCTATATCATCCTTGAAATGGCAAAAATTCCTGACCTGCAGACTGTTCTCCGCGAGGGCCTGGAAGGCGTGGGAAGGTGGGGGCGGGAGGGAAGCAGGTGTGGGTGTGCAAGGGCAGCGAGAGGGGTCTTTGCAGTGAGGGAATGCGCTTGTCTTCGCCGTGCAGCGTCAGCACTCCGGCAGCGATACTGCGCTACAGTTCCCTACACTGTTGCCATCAGTAGGTAGCGCGTACAGGGGTTTTGTTTTGAAAAAACGTCTTGTCAAAGCTACACAGTTGGACCCAGCGTACTTCACTCATTTCCAGAGGCAGCACTCAGACCTAGGTCAGTGGGACTCACGGCCGCGGGTTTCAAGACTGGGCCGTGGCTGAGAGAACCAGGCAGGGGGACGCCCCTAAGCGCCCTGCCGTACCCTGGGGCAGGCGGGTCCGTGGTGTCCCGCAGAGGCTGTTAGAAAACGGCTTGGGCCAAGAACCGAGATCTGGTCACCCTGCAGCGTGGGCGGAAGGCTGCGCGGTGGTGGTGGCGATGCTGGTGGCAGCTTCTGGCTGCGGGTCCGCCCATCTGCGCGCCGGCCGGCGTCTCGGTGGGTGTGTCCACGGGGGGGCGGTGGCGGGTACGCGGCTCGGTGCGGGTCGGGGTGCACCTGTGTCCGCTCTGCGGGAGTCACGCCCGCGTCCTTTGTTCCTACGAGGGTACACCCTGTGATGATACCTCCCCGCAAACAAAGCGGGCCGCGGAGCCGGGCCGTGGCGCACGGAGCCTGTGTCCTGTAGATAAACCGGGTAATCGGGCTCTCCGCCTCCTCACCCAAAACGCCCGCCTGCGCCCCGGAGGGAGGGAGGCTGGTTCCCTGTCATCATCTGGGGCCTGGGCCTTGCCGCCTGCTTTCCTGACCTGGGGCTACGGGGAGCGGCCCCCGCGGCTCCAAGGCCCTCCCCGCGGCCTGGGCGCGGCCCGTGCTTCCGTAAAGGGGTCACTGCTGGCTCCGCCGCGGGGCGCACGCGGATTCCCGCACAGGTGTGGCGCCTGCAGTGAGGCCGTGTGCGGAGCTCGCTCGCCGGCCTCCTCCCCCGCGGCGGCGGCCTGGGATGGCGGGGCGCGGGTTGGGGGAGGCCCGCTGCTCCAGGGCAGCCGGGCGGGGACTCGGCGCCCGCCACGCGCTCCGCCGGCCTCGCCGCGTAAGTGGCGCGGGGGCGGGGGCGCCGGGATTGCGAGGAGGGGGAGAGGCGCCGCCGCCAAAGCCAGCTCCTTCCTTGGCGCGCGGGCAGCCGCCGGCTCCCCGCACCCGCTGGAAGCCTGCGCGCCCCCGCGGTTTCCGGGCCGTGGGCGGGGACGGAGCTGGGGCCACGGCGGTAACGGGCGTGGTGCCGCCGCGGGGTGGCGCCCTCCGCCTCCGCGTCTTCCTTTAAAGTTGGCGAGGGGCTGCGGAGCCCGCGAGCGCGCGTGGCCTGCCCCTGCTGCCCTTGACTTGTCCGGTCCCTCCCGCAGGGCCGAGCGTGTATGCCGGCCGGCCGCTGAAGCTTGAGGGACTTGGGAAGCCCTGGCCGGCGTCGGGCTGGAGCCGGCGCCCCGGAGCGCAATGGAGGCAGCGGCGAGAGGGGACTCGGGAACCGGCGCCGAGTAGCCCGCGGACCCGGGCCCAGCCCACCCTGCCATGGAGGTGCCCAGCGTCAAGGACTTCCAGTGGAAGCGTCTGGCCCCGCTGCCCAGCCGCCGGGTCTACTGCTCCCTGCTGGAGAGCGGGGGACAGGTGTATGCCATCGGGGGCTGCGACGACAATGGGGTCCCCATGGACTGCTTCGAGGTCTACTCCCCCGAGGCTGACCAGTGGACCGCCCTGCCCCCTATGCCCACAGCCCGCGCCGGGGTGGCGGTCACCGCCCTGGGCAAGCGGATCCTGGTGATCGGGGGAGTGGGCACCAGCCAGCTGCCGCTGAAGGTCGTGGAGATGTACAACATGGACGAGGGCAAGTGGAAGAAGCGGAGCGCCCTTCGAGAGGCTGCCATGGGCATTTCTGTCACGGCCAAAGGCAAGTGGGGAGCAGAGAAGGGAGTGGCGGGGCGGGGGGGGGGGTGGCTGCCGGGCAAGCGGTGGAGACCAGCCTGAGTCCTGGGGCCCACTACCACCAGTAGACGCTAGAATTAGGGACCCACTGGCCTTACCTACAGATGGGAAGACTGAGGTTCCGCAAGGGAAATGCCTGTAATTGTACGCCGGCAGGCCGCTGCCCGGGCAGAGCCAGAGGGGTGGGCTGGGGCTTCAGTGCATGTCCACCTGGACCCCTACATTCAGCACCTCCCACCCCTTGAAACCTACCTTGCAGGTGTCAGCCCCGCCAAGGGCTCTGGGACCTGATTCCAGGTCCTCACCCCACCCCAGCCCCACCCCCCACTCAGAGATGCTCAGTGGGGACCAGGCGTCCCTGAGGGCTGTGCCGCGGCTTGCCCAGGGCACCAAGTTCTCAGGGCCTGCGGGCGCTGACTCTGGTTTCACGAGTCCCATTTCACTTTCCCTAAGCCCCTGATTCCATTCTTTTCAGGGCTGCCACAGCCCAGGGCGCAGACAGGGACCCAGAACTCTTGGCTATAAACCCGCAGCTGTTACAGGACTTGGTCCAGGGCGAGTTAGGAGCCCCCGGGTTCCCACACGCCTGCAGTGACGGGTGACCTTGCCCCTTCCTCTGTCCCTGCCTCCCGCTTCTGCTGAGCCATCCCGCTGCCTGTCAAGACTGCGCTGGCTCAGAACCCGGGGTTTCCTGAGCACCTGCTCTGTCCAGGACACAGGGCTTGGCCCAGGCAGGAAGGAAAGAGGCAGATCTGGTCCCTGCCTTGGAGCTATGACCAGTGAAGGTGGCCAGAGAGAAGCACCAACCCACAGTCCCCTAGGGCAGGAGCCAGGGGGCTTCCACAGCCTCTCAGGAGGAGGGTTGGAAAGCCGGGAGGCCCGTGGGGAACAAGGAAGCGGAAAGAGGACCCCGTTGTCTGCAGGTCCCCCTCCATTGGTGCTGCTGAGAGACTGTCTTTACCAGTGTTAACACCACTGATCCTCACAGCCTGTGTGGTGAGATCCAAGCTGTTGTCCTGTTTAGAGAGAAGCGGCGTGGGGCCCAGAGAGGCTAAGTCGCTGGCCCAAGGTTGCACAGCTAGGAAGTGATGATGGCGTCTGGCGCTTCACCTTGGCATCCCATGGGTTTAATAAGCACTCGCTAGCTGTGTGCCAGGCGTTGTACCAGACTCGGGGGCTACGGCTGAACAAATTCACGAGGACCCACAGCCTGCTGGCAGAAACAAAGGTGGTTTTGGTAATGCATGGCGAGCAGGGCGCTGGAGCAGGGTGACGGAGGCGCCGCCACCCTGGGGACCCTGAGTCAGTGCCCTTGCCCCGCCTGCAGTTCAGGGACACCCAGGTGAGCCAGAGGCGGAGGCGGAGCAGCATGTGGAAGCGCTGTAGTAGTGGGGAGCAGGTGCTTCAGGTGGGGGGGGGGCTGTGTTTGTGGAGGTGAAGTCCTCATTATCAGGCTGCATCCCCCAGCCGCGGCCTAGGGCTGGGTTTGGGGAGTAGAGAGGAAGAGTGCTGACTCCCGGGGTAGCCTTGAGGAGCAAAGGGGTCTGGTGTTAGAGCCTCGAGTGATGAGGAGTGGCTGCTGGGAGACCGGATGCTGGGCAGGGAGGAGCCCTGCGAGTCCCGGGCAGGAGCCAGGAGAGGCCCCGGTGAACACAGGAGCCTTCTGATCCTTTCTGAGGCCGCGTGTCGGGGCAGCCCCTCGACAGGGCCACTGGGAGCCAAGAGCGGCCAGGACGGGAGGGGACTCGCTGGCCGGCACGCCGGCTCCCTGCAGGGCCGGCTTTCCCAAGGGGCCAGGCCTTCGTCCTCCAGGCCTCACCCTCCCTCACCCCTAGTCCTGTCCTGGTTAGGGCAGGGCATCTCCTGGCTCCACCAGCCTCCCCCCGTGGACAGCTCTGCATCCCACAAGGCCAGCGACAGCCAGCTGCGACTGGCCTCATTTCTGGAGCCTCCAGCTGCATGGAGAGAATTCCGGGTCTGGGAACGCCTTGGGGAACAGGCCACCGCTGGGGGCATCAGAAGAATGACTTCCTGCTGGCTGTCCCAGAAAGAGGGCGACTAGGTGGGGGGCAGGTCCTGCCCTGGGCTGTCGGGGCCTGGACTTCACCGCAGCCTTGCCCTGGGCACGACCTTAGCCAAGGGCTGGACCCCACAGAAGGCTCAGGTGCGGTCCTGCCACAGCTGCGGGAGAACCCAGGCTCAGCAGGGCAGGGGTGCTGGCAGCCACACGGCCACAGCTGGGGCGCGTTCCTACAGAGCAGCGGTTAGGAGTTGGCCTTGGCCGTGGTCGGTCTCGTGCTGCCTGGGAGCTGAGCCAAGGGTGTGTGTGGCCTTGCTTCCCTTCCTAGATTACCGAGTGTACGCAGCAGGTGGAATGGGCCTGGACCTCCGTCCACACAGCCACCTCCAGCACTATGACATGCTCAAGGACATGTGGGTGTCGCTAGCCCCCATGCCCACCCCGAGATATGCCGCCACCTCCTTCCTCCGAGGGTCCAAGATCTACGTGCTGGGTAAGGGGGAGTCACCACCCGTCTGTATGCCTTCTCCCGCCTCGGGTCAGTTCCCACGAGGAGCAGTACCTGTGTGCAGAGCCTGTCCTCAGCATGCCATCCCACCGCTCAGGGAGCGTCCCACGTGAGGGGTAACCCAGCCCCTGTCCTCAGCCCCTACCCACCGTCCACCCTGCTCCGGCCTCCAGGGGGACGGCAGTCCAAGTACGCGGTCAACGCCTTCGAGGTCTTTGACATCGAGACTCGCTCCTGGACCAAGTTCCCCAACATCCCCTGCAAGCGGGCCTTCTCCAGCTTTGTGACGCTCGGCGACCACCTGTACAGCCTGGGGGGCCTGCGGCAGGGGCGGCTCTACCGGCGGCCCAAGTTCCTGCGCACCATGGACATGTTCGACATGGAGCAGGGTGAGCGGGCTCTCCAGGGCGCCCCCACCAATGCCCTACTGACCACACCCCCTTCTGGCTGACGCCCCGCCCTCCGCCAGCCCATCCAGCTTCCCAGGGCCGCTTACTCACCTTGGGGTGGGGGGGGAGCTCGGAGGAGCCTGGAGCCCCTGCCCCCTGGGCTACTCTTGGTGTGGGATTATTCCATTCAGGGCTCCTTCTCGCTTGCTTGGGTGTGAGCAAAGCCCTTGCCTCCTTTCGTATGTTTCCTTACAATACCCCTGCAGGCCCAGGTGTGTGGGTGTGGGGGGGTCCCTACTTCTGAGTGATGCAGAAACAGAGGGATCCTGCCTCCTCCACTCACTGCCTCTCGTTAGCCTCCTCTCCGTAGAGCCACGAGGACAGAAGTGGAAACCAGGTGATTTGTCGTAAGGGATTAGGGTCCCGCACACGGCAGTGGTGTGGGAGAGGGTGGAGGCCCCAAGAGAATGTCATTTTAGACAGCAGGAGGCGCTGTGTACCCCTCCGACCCCTGAGCACAAAGGGTAAATGGAGTGGCGCCGCCGTCTAGGGTGGCGGTGGGCAGCATCTCCTTCTCTCTCTGTCCCGCGGCCACCACGCCTGCAGGGGGATGGCTGAAGATGGAACGCTCCTTCTTCCTCAAGAAGCGGCGAGCAGACTTCGTGGCCGGCTCTCTGAGTGGACGTGTCGTCGTGGCTGGTGGACTGGGTAAGGCTGGAGCCCCCGGGCAGGGGTGGGCTGTGGTGCTGGGATCCCTGACACTGATCTGAGCAGGAGAGCACTCGCCGGCTCCTGGCACACCACCTGCCTACTGCTACGGGCCAAGGAGTTCCAGGCGCCACTGTGCTCTCTGCCCGAGGTGACAGAGGGGCGTCTCGTGTGGCTCAGGCTTGCTCCGTGGCTGGCGACAGGGTGTGGAGGGGTCGCACGGTCCTCCTGCTCTGACCTGTCTTCTCCCTGGAGACCCGGCCTCACCGCGAAATAGGAAAGCAGCCCGATGAAATAAAGCCTTCTCAGGGCACTGGGGATTTGATATTTGAGGGGTCTTCAAAAAGTTCATGAAAATACAGGCCACGAAGAAGCGACGCGTGCATTTCCAGAACGCTCTGCAGCAAGGGAGATGTGTCCATTCGTTCCATTTCTCCGTGGACTTTGTGGCGGCCCCTTGTATTAACCCCCACCCCGCCCCACCCCGGAAGTACCGGTATTTTGACGGCAGGGAGGGGGCGGGGATTGTTATGAGGGAAAAGGCCCACAGTGCGAGGGAAAGGCGACACGGGTGGTCACGCTCCCAGTGCTTGGCGCTGTGGGCAGCTCCCACCTCCCCACGTGGGATGGGACCACGCGAGGGCCCCCAGCCAGGCAGCTTTTTTTAGTGAAAGGGGGGGAGGGAGGCCATGGTGCTCTAGAAACTTCTGGTGAAAGCAAGGCGGGGGACAGACAGGAGGAAGGTGGCTTGGGGGGGGGGGTGAAATGGCTGTGACAGAAGCCACTGGGCCAGGACAGGGAGGAGGCGGTGGCGGTCCTGTGGCTAAGGAAGTTGAAGCCGCTTGGCCTCTGCCTGTGGCAGGGAGGGAGCTGGGTGGCTGAGGGTGTGGATCGGTGCTGGGCGCCCTGGTAAGGTCTCCATTCCTTGGTGCTGTCAGGAAACCAGCCCACCGTCCTGGAGACAGCGGAAGCGTTCCACCCAGGGAAGAACAGGTGGGAGGCGCTGCCCGCCATGCCCACGCCGCGCTGTGCCTGCTCCAGCATCGTCGTCAAGAACTGCCTGCTGGCTGTGGGGGGCGTCAACCAGGGCCTGAGCGACGCGGTGGAAGCCCTGTGTGTCTCTGACTCCTAGTTGTGGCCGGGCCCAGCCCTGGCCCCCGAGCGTGTCCCTTTACTCTTGACGTGAGGCGTGCGGGCTGCTCCCCAGGCCGCCAGCTCCTGTCAGCAGCCACAGGTGCAGATCCTGGGGCTGTACCTACCCCCACCACCTCCAAACCCTGCCAGTCCCAGAACGCTGTCCAGAGCGCAGATGACCCTGCTGGGCCCAGCTTGCCACCGGGCTGTCCCCTGCAGAGGGTCCCCACTTACTGCTCGGGCACAGGAGGGCCCTAGGGCAGCGCCCCCTCCCACCTGAGCAGGCGGCTCTGATGGGGGCTGAACCGCGATTGCTGTCTCCCCAGCGCTGCACTACTTGGAGGGTCCTGAAAGATGGAGGTCAACATCTCTTCTCTCTTTAGTAGGGCTCGGCCGCGGGCCTCAGCTGCTTGGCCAGAGTTGAATGTGAAGCTAGAGGCAAGCACACTGGGAGGGACACGGGCTCACGTGGCCAGTCCAGGCCCCAGGGGCTTCCTCTGGGGGTCCTTGCCAGGTGCATGATGATGGGGAAGAAGCAATGGGATCCCCACATCTCTCCCCGTTCTATTGTCCCCACCAGAGGCCTGGCCCTTCTGTCACTGATGGTCCCCAGGGTGTTCCTGTGCGAAGCCGCCTCATTTACACTGTGCCATCGAAATCCACCGTGATGGGTTCATTCACCCGTTAGCAGCAGCAGCACAATGATGAAAGTCTATATTCCTACCTTCTGTGGTGCCTTGATTCAGGGTGGAGTGGAAGGGTGTCTGATGGGCAGAGGGGACCCTGTGACAATCCTTCTGCCACGCTGAGGCTAGATGGGGTCCCACGTGGCCATCGTCTCGGCTGTTCCCCTCCAGTGCCGCCTCTGCGATCCCGGCCGCCGGTCACCCCACCCCCACCCCCACCCCCGCAAAGGCAGTTCCTTCTCTTGCACTGAGATTCCAGGAGTCTTCAGAGAAGGTCAAGTTCACACGGGGTCTTCTGCATCTGGTGCCTCCCTGTGTCAGCCTGAGCTCCGACTTCCTATTTTTCTTATGCAAAGTAGGAAGGGATTTGCTCACTGACCTAGGCAAAAAGGACTTGAAGAATGTGCCTCCTTTTAGCCTACATACCACCTCTGGTTCTCAGAGTGACACACGAGAGAGGAGAGGAGAGAGAGAGAGCCTGTCTCCATCCACTGGTTCAGTCTTCAAATGGCCAGGCCGAAGCCAGGAGCCTGGAACGCCATCCATCATCCAGTCTCCCACGTGGGTGGCAGGGGTCCAAGGGCCTGGGCCATCCTCCATTGCTTTTCCAGGCGCATCAGCAGGGAGCTGGATCAGAAGCGGAGCAGCCGGGACTCACCAGTGCCCCAGTATGGGATTCGGGGATGGAGACGGTGGCTTAGCCCTCTGTGCCATGACCCTGACTCCTCAGTTGCTTTGGAAAGCTGGGCCAGCAGGGTGTGAAGGGCCTGGAGAAGTGGGTAACGCTCCTCCATCACGGACGGATGGTTTCTCCTGGGGCAGGAGCTGGAGGATCAGCTGCCTGGATCTGGGGACCGCAGGGGGTCTCCTGGGGGAGGGGGGCCGCCACCTTCAGCCAGGTCTTCCAGCACAAGCGGAACCTAGGTCTTTAGGGGTTAGGGATTTTCTTCCTCCAGGAACCTGACTTTTTCCTCACTTGGGTCCCAGAAGGGCACTGCCACCTGCTGGCCAGCCTTTCCTTCCTGCCCTGACCGGGAGGCGTCCGGAGGCCACGGGGGCCCCCTAGCGAGCACACTTCAGAGAGGCCTGTTGCTGCCCAGGCCCTGCTGTGGTTCCGCCCAGAAGTCACCGTTAGGCGAAGGGGCTGGAGGTGCTGCTGACGCTAGGGAGGATTCAACGGCACAGCCGGGAGAAGCTGCCCCGAAGGCCAGCCCTGGTACGGTCTCCCCTTCCCCTCCCGCTTCTGCCTCACAGCCCCCATCTCCACCCCTCCCTAAGAGCCGTGTGTTCAAACGGGGGACAGAGCCAAGTGCACCAAATGGCCCCGTATCCATGGATGGGACCGAGACACTAAAATCATAGGAACTGAGGGGTGGGGTCTTAGGGGCACCAGCTCCGAAAGGCTGCGTTCACCTCCGACCCCTGTACGGGCAACTCAGGGCTGCAGCTGCCCAGAGCCGAGGACTCGGCTCTCAGAAGTCCACCCTGGAGAGGCTTGGGGTACCACCCTGAGGACTCGGGGAGGTACTGAAGGTCAGTGCTAGCCCACGCGGTCCTGTGCTTCGTGGTGCCCTGGACAAGGCACGGGGCCTGGGGCCCGATGACCCGGTTCCAGGCCTCACTCCCCACCGCTGAGTGCCCTCCCATTTCACAGGGGAGAAGACCCGGGCTCGGAGGGGTTAAGCGGGGGTAGCTTGCCCAGGGTCACAAGCTGTAAGTGACTGAACAAGGTCTGCTTCCCAAACTTGGGAGCATGGCTCTGCACTTCCTCATGGGACAGCAGCAGCAAAGGCGGGAGGACCAACTCCGTGTCCCAAATACCCAGGCTGGAGGAATGGCAGCTCTGAGGGCCGCTACTGTGCAACAGATACTGAGCATAGAGTATTCCTGCGTCCATATCCCTGGGAAAGCTCCCTGCCAAGGTTTTTGTCCCATCTTTGATTCCACACTGTTGGGCAGCATTTGACACCTGATGAGCTACAGGGGGTCTCCATCCCCCCCACCCCTACCCCACAGAGCATGTCTGTCTTCAGAATGGTCCTGGTCTAGAAGGCTGGCATGACACTAGGCCTGGGTTCCTGCCCCTACCAGCTGCAGTCCAGGGGAAGACGGGAGACCGAGCCTGCGGTTGGTATTTGGCCAGCGTCAGCCTTGGCTGGTGCAAACCGGGACGACTCCAGGGAGCTGAGATGAACCGAGGGGAACAGGGCAGCTTTCCGAAAAAAAAAAAAAAAATCTCAAACTGCACGTTGAAGGAAGAGGGAGACCAGCGGGGCAGAGAGGCACAGGCCGTGCGCGAGAGGGACCGGTCCAGGTCGTGACTGTCATGGACTGCTTGATTTTGGGCATCCTGCTTACCCTCTCTGAGTGTTGGTTTTCTCATTTGTAAAACGGGCACCGTGAGGCCACACTTAGGAGGCCAGGTGGGTCGATTGCGAGTGTTCAGCAGGTGGCTGTGGCCCGACAGCCGCTTGGGGTTTGGAGTGGAGGAGCAGTGCGATCAGATTTGTACCCCTGTCTCGTGGGGGGTGCCCGTGCTTTTGCCGCACTCACAGCCACCCTGGCACCCTCAGTGTGGGTGCCCAGGCGCAGACTCCTTCACCTTTGGAAGTGCACTGCTGTGGCTGTCACTGCCCTCGGGCGAGGCAGGACCACCTGCTGCTTTAGGTCATTCTGCTCTCCCACCCTCCCAGAACCCAGGGCCATGTTTGCCATGTGGTTGGAGGGACCTCGGTACCTTGGTACAGACTGGGACGGGTCGGTTTCACAGCTGGGGAAACTGAGGCCCAGAGGAGCCGTGCAACTTCCCCCAGGGCTCCCAGGCTGCAAGAGGGAGGGGCATGTCCTCCTCACCTGTTTGCACCTGCTTGGTGCCTGGTGGCGCCTGGCACAGCGCCAGTGCCTGCAGCCCATGCGTTGAGGGAATGAACGGATGGCTCACCGGGGGACGAAGGGGGAGAGATTCCGGTGCCCAGTCCCAGTTCCTAATTTAGCCTGCCTGGACGCGCGCGGCTCCTGAGACAGTTTCTTCATTTCCTGCAGAAGTTTCCAGCCACCTCCCTCCTTGGGAGAGGAAATCACTGGCAGATGACTCACAGGGTCCACGAGTGAGGGGCTGGAGGCAGAAGAAGGACCTGAACACTCGGTGCCCCAGGCCCTTTTGGGCAAGAGGAAACCCGTCCTCCCCACCAGCTCGGGGCCGTGGAGGGCTGGGGACAGAGGACTCCAGGCCAGCAGCTCCTGGCCTTCTGGCCTGCAGGGCTGTGCCTGGCCTGTCGGGCCTCCACCGCGGGGCAGCCCTGGGAGGAGGATGTGGCTGTGCCAGGAGGGTTAGGGACCCCTAATACCTGACCTTAACCACCCTGTCCTCCTGTGTGAAGCACAAAACAAGGACCTGGGGACACCCTGCCCACTGTTCCACAGAAAATCAGCCATGGTTCTAATCTCAGCAATTCATAGTTTCAAAAACAAACGTTGGGGCCAGGGTTGTGGTGTAGCGGGTAAAGCCGCCACCAGCAGTGCCAGCATCCCATATGGGCACTGGTTCGAGACCCAGCTATTCCACTTCCCATCCAGCTCTCTGCTATGGCCTGGGAAAGCAGTAGAAGATGGCCCAAGTCCTAAGGCCCTTGCACTTGTGTGGGAGACCCGGAAGAAGCTCCTGGCTCCTGGCTCCTGGCTCCTGGCTTTGAATTTGTGCAGCTCTGGCTGTTGCGGCCAATTGGGGAGTGAACCAGCGGATGGAAGACCTCTCTCTTTCTCTCTCTCTCTGCCTCTCCTTCTCTCTGTGTGTAGCTGTGACTTTCAAATAAATAAATAAATCTTTAAAAAAAATTTAGGAGGTGAGCATTGTGGCAGCTCAGGTCAAGCTGTAGCTTGGGACCCCCACAAGCCAAATCGGAGTGCCAGTTCAGGTCTCAGCTGCCCCAGGCTTCCAATCCAGCTCCCTGCTGATGTGCCTGGAGGCAGCAGGTGATGGCCCAAGTGCTTGGGTTCCTGCCACCCATGCAGGAGACCCGGATGGAGTTCCTGGCCCCTGACTTTGGTCTGGCGTTATCCTGGCTGTTGTGGGCATTTGGGGAAAGAACAGAGAGAGATATATATATGCACGTATGTATGCATGTCTGTCACTTTGCCTTTCAAATAAATAAATCTTAAAGAAACAAGCATTATTGGGGAGCATTAATTGATGGGTCTCTTTCCCAGACTCCCTTGCTCCATATTCCAAGTCCTCATTTTCAGAAGAGGCCTGGATTGGCTGGAGCTGTGCTTCCAAAGCGGGAGCTCGTGGCACGCAGACCCGGCTTCCAGGCCTTCCGTGCAGCTCGCTCAAGCCCAGGTGGCAAGTGACCTGCTCACTTTCACTCCTGTCCCTCACGGAGCCAAGAGCATAGCTCAGATCCTGACTGCCTGGCGTGGGGACGACTTCTGTAGCACCCCCCCCACCTCCAGTCTCCCCGCCTCTGGCCCTGCACCGGGCTGCTAGGGTTCCTGTGCCCTTCCAGAAGTTGTCTTCTCTGTGGATCTGACTCCATCCTCACGGGCTTGGCCCTCCAGGGGAGTCCAGCATCAGCTGGGTCTCTCAGGTCCTTCCCAAGGGTTGCACCCTTCCAGCCTCCCCTTCCAGCCCACCGTTCCCTGAACGGGTCCAGTAGCTCAGTACCCGCTGCCCTGCACAGGCCATGTCTCTTCCTCCTGGACGCACGTGGAGAATGCAAGCCACTGTTTCCTGGTCCTGTCCCTACTCCCTACACCCACAGCTAAGGAAGCTGTCCTCAGGCCTGGGACGATGCCATTCACCGAGAGCATCCCAGAGCGCCTGGCCTACAGTATCCAAATCCCAGGGCGCGAACACCTGAGCTGAGTAAAGGCCAGGAATCCGAGGCCTGGAGGCGGCTGCAGCTTCGAGAGGCAGCTTTACAACGCCGCCTTGTCTCTAAGCTCCGCCAGCGCCTGTGGACGCAGGGAGCCGGATCCAGGAAATAGCAATGTTTCAAATCCCCCTGCTTGGGGATTGGGTTCCTGCGCCCCTTTGTCATGGGCTCTCACGAGAGGGACAGGGCAGGCTCAGGCTTTTTATGAGCTGTGGCTGACAACCAGCTGATTAATCCAGCCTTGTAATCACAGTCCCCAGCACCAATCTGGGCTCCTGTCATTTAGGTCAAGAGAAAAGTGAGTCCCCCCCCCCTTCCCTCTCCAAGGGCCAGGAGCTGGTGACCCGGCTAAAGAATGTGCCTTGCTGGGGGTTGCATTCCAGGACCAGCTTGGGAGGCCAAGGGCTCAGGTTGCCAGCAGGAGCCAGGCACGGGGCAGGGAGGCAGTCCCGGGCAGACCTCCCTCCTGGGCACACCTCCCGTGCCCTGCCCTGCCCTGTCAGTCCTGGGCCTCCCTGCGTGGAGGCAGAGCCAGGAGGAGGAAGACAGCCACCCCCTCCTGGGAGCAGCATTCCGATGGAGTGGCCACAGCTCCCAGCACATAAGCCCCAGCCACTGGGGAGCTCATAGCGGTCTGCAGATCACCTCCGTGTCCGGGGGCTCCTTTGACCAATAGGAACCGGGGACTAGGAGACTGAGTCTGATACCCAGGGCTGTGTGACCTGTGCTGGGTGCAGAGCTGCTACCTCCCATCCTCTGACTTCTGTTCTGACCCTCACTCTACCCCCAGCTTCGTCATTTTGGTTGGTGGAGACACGGAGTGCCCTGGGGAGGGCCCCCATGAGAACACTACCCCTGGTGTGAGCACGGCTTTGCCAGCCCCACGGTGCTGGGAGTTACGCAGCCTCAGAGATTGGGAAAACCACCCAGGAGTGAGGGGCAGAAGAGGAGGAAGATCCTTTCACTTTCCCACTGACAAATGGGATAAAGAGCCCCCCCCTCCTCCCATAGCTCTGGATGCTCTAGGCTTCAAATCTGCATAAATGTGGGGCTGGCATTGCGGCATGGCGGGTTAAGCTGACACTGTGATGCCATCATCCCATATGGGTGCTGGTTCAAGTCCCGGCTGCTCCACTTCCAATCCAGCTCCCTGCTAATGTGCTTGGGAAAAGCAGCAGAAGATACCCCAAGTGCTTGGGCCCCTGCACCCAGATGGGAGACCAGGGTGAAGCTCCTGGCCCCTGGCTTCAGCCTGGCACAGCCCTGGCTGTTGCAGCCATTTGGGGAGTGAACTAATGGATGAAAGATGTCTCTCCCTCTCTGTAACTCTGCCTTTCAAATAAAGGAATAAATAAATAAATAATTCCTTTTTTAAAAAAGATCTGCACAAACATCCACCTGCTTTTCCTCCCTTGCTTTGGCATCAGAAACCCACACTGGGGCGGGGGGGATGTGGCCGATCTGCGGCACAGCGGGTTAAAGCCTTGGCCTGAAGCACCAGCATCCCATATGGGCGCCGGTTCTAGTCCCAGCTGCTCCTCTTCTGATCCAGATCTCTGCTATGGCCTGGGAAATCAGTAGAATATGGCCCAAGTCTTTGGGCCCCTGCACCCATGTAGGAGACCTGGAAAAAGCTCCTGGCTTCGGATTGGCGCAGCTCCGCCTGTTGTGGCCATCTAGGGAGTGAACCAGCAGATGGAAGACCTCTCTCTCTCTCTCTCTCTACCTCTCTCTGTAACTCTGACTTTCAAATAAATAAAATAAAATCTTAAAAAAAAAGAAAAGAAAACCCACACTGGGGAGTCCTTTCTCTTCTCTCCCAACATGAGCTCCAGCCTTGGCATTTCTTTTTCTTTTAAATATTTATTTATTTATTATTTGAAAGTCAGAGTTACACAGAGAGAGGAGAGGCAGAGAGAGAGAGAGAGAGAGAGAGGTCTTCCATCCAATGGTTCACTCCCCATATTGCCTGCAACGGCCGGAGCTGTGCCAATCCGACGCCAGGAGCCAGGAGCTTCCTCCGGGTCTCCCATGTGGGTACAGGGACCCAAGAACTTGGGCCATCTTCTACTGCCTTCCAAGGCCACAGCAGAGAGCTGCATCAGAAGTGGAGCAGCCGGGACTTGAACCGGTGCCCATATGGGATGCTTCAGGCCAGGGCATTAACCCACTGCACCACAGTGCCGGCCCCGAGCCTTGGCATTTCTATCTGTCCCCTGCCTGCACCAGATGGCCATATGGGATGCTGGCACTGCAGGCGGCAGCTTTACCCACTATGCCACTGCGCGGGCCCCCAGGAATCCTTTCTATACCAAAGCATGATGGAGTCCCAGGGGCTCCAGCACTTGCCAGCTTTGTGAGCCTGCATGGGCAGTTACTTGATTTTTCTGCGTCTCGGTCTCTTCATCTGTGCAGTGGGGATAATTGCATGCTGGCCCCTGCTTCACAGAGTTGTGATAAGGACGGAACTCCCGAGCAGAGGTAACGTAGGGGCAGTGGCCGGCTCCCAGTGTGTTAGCACAGAGCGCCATCCTCATGCTCAGACTTGCAGAGACGACGTGGAGTCACAGTGCACCCGCGACAGGGCAGAGCTCAGGCCAGGAGCCAGGCCTGAACCAACACTGTGCCAGCCTGGGGTTGAGAGAAGGAATGTGGCTCCTGGACATCCAAGAGATGGAGAATCACTGCCAGGAGGGCCGAAGAAGGCTTCTACTGTGTCCCAGCTGAGCCATCGCAGGAACTCACAGCAGATGCGAAACGGAACTCAGAGTTGACGTCTCCAGATCCCTTCTCATAGACAAAACACCGCACCCCGAAGAGAAAGTCCTTGGCCACAACCACTGTGTGGGCAGGTGGGAGAGTGGAGCTGGGTCCTAGGACGCCTCCCTCTGTGCATGGACTCCTGCCTCCCCCCTCTGGGTATGCTCTGGCTACAGCCACGGGCAGGACAGGGCAAGCTCTCTGGCCTGGAGACAGGGCCCTCCCAGGCCTGGATGCTGAATCCGAATTGCAATGGAGAGCTTGACTGCTCTGTGTTCAGCGTTTGCAGTGCGGAATTCTCCAAACTCCTGGTGAGATTCACTAGAAGTAAAATCGTCAGTAGCTCAGTGGTTCCTCCACACACGGTCCCCCGCACTCTCTGTGTCTCCTTGTGTATCCCAAGCCCCTTGGGACACCAGAAAGCAAAGCAATGGTTAGCGGCACAGCTGAGATGTCAGCCTGATAAGAGGTTTGCCTTGCAGCTCGGCTACTTCCCAGCCGGAGGGTCTTGCATGTGACCGGGCACCCAAGATCCTTAGACCCAGGGATGGCTCATGCAACGTTAGGTGCCGTGATGTCTGTCACTGCCGTTGTTCAGTGCATGTTTGCTGAATGAACAAACAAGTGAGTGGCTCACTAAAGGAACCAATTGCCTAAGCAGACCCTGTGCATGGCCACAGCATAAAACTTGCTAGGCTCAGTTTGGCCAGAAGAGGGCAGCTTTGAGCCAGGCAGCCCGGTTTGCCATAGCCTGCCAGGATTGCCAGGCCTGTCTTGCATTTACACCTCCTTGTCTTGGAGGGCGAGGGCCAGGTCTGACATGCAAGCTCCTACTTAGGCAGTTCCAGTAGCCCCCGAAGGGGAAGGTCATCACTGCCCTCTGTCCCCCAAGGGGCAGGGCTGGGGGAGGGGTGGGATACCAAGGGCCTTCACACACCCTTGGAGCTCTGGGCGGGGGAAGAATGTGCTGCCTGGGACCAGAGAAAGGGAACAGGGGCCCAGGGACCTACACTAAGATGTTTCCGAGGGAAGAGACGCCCTGGGGCCCTGCAGATCCCTAGAGCTCATCAAACACGGAGCGTGGGTCTGTCTGCCCTTCTGTCCTCCCCCCAGACCTCCATCCTCTTTGGATCTCCTCCCCTGACCCCATTCCCCGCCCCCCAGCACATCCCTCATCCAAATCTCACCCAGCCTTCAAGGCCCCAAGTGGGGCCCTCCCTGGAGCTCCAAGCTAAGCCCCCCAGCCCCTTTCAGCCCCAGTGGCACTGGACCTCTCTTACGGGTCTGCCCACTTGTAGCCTTGCATTATCCGGGACGTGGTGATTTACCTTATTTCCTTACTGAGCCGTACATTTCCTGAGAGCAGGGGACTAATTCTTAGTCACCTCTCGGGCTCATCTCAGACCTGTCTGCCACTGGCCTTCCCTGTCCCACCCCTAGTCCACTCCCAAAGCACGGCCTTGCTGCACCTCACCTGCGTGCACCCTCCCCTGAGTGGCTCCTCCCCACCCCAGTACACATACTCAGAGGGTGTAAGGGCAGGGATGGGGCTTGCGCAGCCCAATGCATGGCTTTCGGAAATCAAGGAGCAGTTGAGCCTGGCGGTGGAGAGAGGCTTCCTCCTGCCAGGACTGGATGGGGGCACGGGCAGGATGGAGCAGCTCACTCAGCCCACACAGCCCAGCACATCTGCTCATCTAAGCGTGTCCCAGGAATTTCCCGAGACCCAGACAGTAGACAGACCAGTCCCCGTCAGACACGATCGCCCTGCCACACACCAGACCACCCCATAAGGAATTTCAGAGTCGGGTTTCAGCAGATAGGAGCGTTTCTGTGTCGCGTGCGGTTCCGGCCCTGGGTCTGCCTGTCTGGCCCGCTCGCTGCCTGCTATGGACAGACAGCAGCCACGCCACGTCACGACAACCCTGCCCTTCAGGCCCAGGGTTGCACCTTGGCTGGGCCAGGGGAGATCTCTTCTCTGGAGTCATCCTTGGCTTGTGGGATGCAGATGGTAGCCACGGAAGCAGAAATGGGGGTGAGGGAAGTCCAAGAGGTTGCAGGCGCTGGGCCCCCACTGCTGTCTGTCACCAGGGTGCTGGTCATGGAGGGAGACCAGACGCAGGTAGCCGCCTTCACTCCAGTCCTTGGATTCCACTGAGCATCCCTTTGGCCCACAAACATCTACGGAGCAGCTTTTAGGTGCCCAGAGGTAGGCTAGATGTTGCAGACCTCGGGGAATAGTCATTATAGTCTAGGCTGAACTTGGACGGGAATGAGCTTGGGCTCACCCGTGTGATTCTTCACCTTTCTTAGGAGGTAATGTTGGTCAGCTGGTGAATTGCTACCTGTCTCAGCTTTAAAAGCCCTGCCTCCAGGAAGCCCTCCAGACCAGCCTCTCCCTTTCTGGGCCAGTAGCTCCCGCCTCTTATACATCCCCAAGGCATTCCGTTCCTCCCTCCATGGAGGACCCGCTTGCTTTTTTTTTTTTTTTTTTTTTTTTTTCAAGACTGGGGATTCTCTGAAGGCAGAAGCCATGCCCATCGTATCACTGTTATATCCCCAGGCCCAGCACCTATGCTCACCAGCACTTGTAGAATGAAGCGATTGGTAGAAGGCCATAGAACAGGTATTAGAGTCAGGATTAGAACTTGAGTCTCCCAACACTCAGCCTTGTGCCTCCTCTTAAATTACCCTTGCTGGAGGCCAGCATTGTGGTGTAGCCGGTAAAGCCACCACCTGTAACGCCGGCATCCCATATGGGTGCTGGTTCCTGCCCCAGATTCTCCATTTCTGATCCAGCTCCCTGCTAATGGCCTGGGAAAGCAGCAAAAGATGGCTCAAGTGTTTGGGTCCCTTTCACCCACATGGGAGACCCAGAAGAAGCTCCTGGCTCCAGGCTTCAGCCTGGCCCAGCCTTGGCCGCTATGGCCATCTGGAGAATAAATCAGCAGATGGAAGCTCGGTCTCTCTCTCTCTCTCTCCCCCTCTTCCTCTTCCTTTCCCCTCCCCTGTGTAACTCTGACTTTCAAATAAAATAAATAAATCTTTGTTTTTAAGCATTACCCACACTTCGTTTAAAGAGTCCTAATCTGTCTAGACGGGCCCCCAGAAATGGACACAGATCCCAAGAGGAAAGGAAGCAGCAGGTCAAGGGAACTGCCCACTGGGCCTCACTCCATTTCCATGGATAACCCCGACCAACAGTGGCGTGTGTCTGGTAGAGGGAAGAAGGCCAAACTAGCTCTGGCCCCCCAAGGCCTTGCAGATCTGGGGAAGAGAGGGATAGTTTCTGCCTAAGGTCACAAAGCAGGCAGGGGCCCCATGAGGGGGTGGGACACCCACTACTCACACTGGACGGGATCAAGGGGCTGGTGGGAGCAGGAACGTGGGCAGACACGACACAGAAAACCCAGCCCTGGGGCCCTCATCCTCCTGGATGCTGAGCAGGCCCTAACTGCACAGCTGCAGGCACCTTCCTCTGGGGTGTGGGGCAAAGGCTGTGTGCCCAGCAAAGCGGCAATCCAAGCAGGGGCCCTGCCTGCTTGCAGGCCGGGCTCCCCTCAGGGAAGGGGACAAAGGCCTGCTGTCCTCCCTTCTGCCCGTAGGCGGGGTCTGAATCCTTTTCTTTTTCGAAAGGCAGAGCAACAGAGAGAGAGGAGGGACGGAGAAAGAGATTTTCCATCTGTTGGTTCAGGCCCTAGATGGCTGCAGCAGTCGGGACTGGGCCAGGCATTAACCAGGAACCAGGAACTCCTTCCAGGCCTCCCCCGTGGGTGGCAGGAGCACAGGTGCCTGGTCCATCTTCTGCTGCCTTAGCAGGGAGCTAGATGGGAAGTGATGTAGCTGGGACTCGAACCGGTGCTTCCACATGGACGCTGACATCACAAGCAGCAGCTTAACCCAGTGTGCCATAGCAGCGGCCCTGGTTCTGCTGCTTCTCACCGGCTGTGTGAGCTTGGGCATGATCAAGTTATCAAAAAAGCCAGCAGGGAAATGTCCCTTTCTCCCATTTAGAGGGAGGAGGAAGGTGGGTGTTTGGCACAGAGATAAAGATGCTGGTTAAGGGGCCAGTGTTGCCATGCGACAGGCTAAGCCACTACTCGGGAGGCCCATGTCCCGTATTGGAGGGTTTGGTTCAAGTCCTGGCTACTCTGCTTCTGATCCAGCTTCCTGCTGACGCACAGCTAAAGTCCTGAGTTCCAGTCACCCAAATTGGAGACCTGGATGGAGTCCCCAGCTCCTGGCTCAGCTCAGCCCAACCTTGGCCATTGTAGGCATTTGGGAATGAACCAGCAGATGGGAGATCTCGTTCTCTCTTTTTCTCTGTCCCTCTCAAATTAGTTAATTAATTATTAAAAATAAAACCAAAACAGCCCCCAACCTACCACCAGATCTCCAAAACAACAGCGAAGAAGACTTTGGGAGAACAGATGTTCCCAGATTTAGGGATACCTATTGAAGAGCAGGAGCCCAAAATCTCCTTAGGCTGGCCCCACCTCCTGCCCACACTTCATAAACTCCACCACCTCTTGAGGGAGCCCCCTTGGAAAAGACGTGAGCCCTGCCCGGCTCGCAGGGTCGGGGGAGGCTGGTCTCACTGCGGACCAGTGGAGTAGGACCCTGGAACGGCTCCCCACCGCATCATGCCCCCCTGCCTGGAGTCGGCCTCTGTTCCACCGGCCCAGCCTGTCCCATCCATCCCCCACACACCTCCTTACAAAAGTGGTCAAGCGACTTAGCCCAGAGGGATGCAGCCACGCGCTCCCCTGGCCTCTTGCGCCCTCTCATTCCTTGCCCCTTGCCAACTGAGAAGGCAGCACAGTGGAACAACAGGTGGCTCCGACCCAGCGGCTCAGAGAGCCGGTCCCAGGGCCTTCAGCCGAGCAGCCTCCACTGCAGTCCCCGGGGGCCTGGTCTCTGTCCCTCGGGGGCCCAGGGGGGTAGGGCTCCCTTGGCCCCATTGACATCTTGGTTAGACACGCCGCGGGGAGGAGGCGGGGCCGGGGCCCAGCAAAGCCAATGAGGGCCGCTCTGGTCACGCGCCGCCGGAGGCCCGGCCAATGGGCGCTGTGGGGCGTGGCCAGCGCCTCGGGCTCACTGCGTTTATAGCCACTTGGAACGCGGCGCTCTCCAGCGCGCTCGGGTGCGGCACTGGGCTCGCGGTCCGAGTGTGGGACTTGCGCGGCGGGCTCCAGCGCTCCCGGCGAAACCGACCGAGGCCTTCCCCGCCCTCGTCCGCCTCCTGCTCGCCATGGAGTCGCTGGCCTTCTCCCGGAGGCTCGGCTCGGCCTCCTCGGCCGCCGCCATCCTGGCCGACGGGCTCATCAAGTCGCCCAAACCCCTGATGAAGAAGCAGGCGGTGAAACGGCACCACCACAAGCACAACCTGCGGCACCGCTACGAGTTCCTGGAGACCCTGGGCAAGGGCACCTACGGCAAGGTGAAGAAGGCGCGCGAGAGCTCAGGGCGCCTGGTGAGTGCGGCTCCCTCTCGCGGCGCAGGGGGCGGCGAGCCGGGGGCCACGCGGCTGCATCGCGCGGGGTTGCGTGTGTGTGTGCGCGTGCGGGGACCGGCCGCGGCGGTCTGCGATTGTAGGTGGGGACGGGGCTCGGGGGCCGAAAACCTCAGCAACACCAGACCGCGTGCCCCTTAGGGAAGATGGGACTTGGGCTGGGTTTCTTTTGGAACAGAGTGGAATGGGACGGAGCAGGAGGCACCTGCTCTTAGCGGGGGTTTGGTAAGCGTGCGTGCGTGTGGCTGAGTGGATGAGGCGTGGAGTTCTCCATCCCTAAGAGCCCGGCAGCCCCGCGTGCCACGGAGGTGTGCGCAGGGCTGAGTGTGCACAAGGTGGACAGCTTTCCAGCTCTGAGACTGAATGGAAGCTCACTGGGACGGGGTTTTTGATTCTGGGAAATATGAAACCTACGGGACTGGGGCCTTTTCAGGAACTCGGCCTGTTGATTTGGAGCGTGTGCGCGGCAGTCAGAGTAATTTCTGTGTCCCTGGAGCAATTCCCTCTGTATTATTTTCACTTTCCCCTTCAGCAAAAGCAGAGAAAACACAACCTACCTCACAGGCTGCTCTGAACGTTGAATAAGATAGGCGAGCGAACTTAAACTGTTGCTGACACGTAGACCTTGCCGTGAGAACTCGTATTTGTATCTGGCGAGGTCGGGCCTGGCTGGATGGCACACTTGCCAAAAGCTAGTGGTTACCTGTGGCTCTCAGATTTGAGTGCCGTGTGCATGGGAGTCACCTAGAGTTTGTGCTTAAACTCCTTCTCTCCCCACCCAGAGGAATTTCTTCACAAGCCTAGGATAGGGCCATATAACCTGTTTTTAACAAGCCTTTTAGAGCAGGTGGTGTAAGGATGGTTGGGCTGTGTGTGTGGCCAGGGTTTATCCCATTGGCCAGGGCAGCCACCGCCTTCCCAGCGTGTGTTTGCTTTTGCAGCCAGTAGCCGGTTTGAAACTCAAGAAGTGGTTTCATTGGTGAAGGGAGTCGATGTTGGGGAAAGGGCTGGATTATGGCCCCATCAATGAGGCCGAGGGTGTTTTTCCGGCTAACGCCTGGCACGGTCCCCAGCTGCCTGCTGCCAGGTTACAGCTCTTGGGCAATTGTGTGCTTCCTGGCTTTCCTTTTCTTTCTCTTTCCAGAACGTGCGAAGGCCCAGGGAGGCTGCAGGCCCGAGGCTGCTGGGCCCAGGCTTTGTCAGGGGCTTAGCTGGAAAAGAGCTGCTCGTGGCTTGGGTGCCCCTTGCTGGGGGGGGGGGGGGGGGGACTGGGTCCAGGGGACAGGTGGGGCGTGCCCAGAATCAAGGAGCTGGGATTCACACTGAGATCCCATCACTCTGTGTGTGTGTGCATGCGTGTGTGATAGAGAGAGAGTGTGTGTGTGTGATAAAGACAGTTTTCCTTTGACTTTGGAGTGAAATAAACCAGCTTTCAGTTTTCAAACCTCAGTAGCTCTAGGCGGGATTCCAGCCCTTATTACATCAGAATAGAGAGGATTCAGAAGAAACTCCCTGGCCTCATCCTCTTGCTGTGCCTAAGGAGCCAAGGTTGGTGGGCGGGGGACCTCCTCTGAACCTCCCAGACCAGCAGACCACCCAGCACTGTTGCTAGGAACTTGCTAGGGGCCTCCCCTCAGAAAGCAGCTTCCGATGGATCCCCCCCTCCCCCGCTCACACCCATCACCCTCCCTGAGCAGAGACCTCTCAGGGTGCTTCCGGGGTGGGGGGAATCAGAGACAAGAAAGCTGCCCGAGACCTCCTCCCAAACTACCCGAGATTGTTGGGGGGCCCCCACACTCCGAGGACAGCCTGCGGGGTGGCTTCTACCCCGTGTTCTCTCCCACTCACCTTGCCTGGGTGGAACTGCCAGGGGCCAGATGGGACCTGCAGAGGGAAGGAGGGGCAGGTGGACAGGACTAATAGCTGCTCCAGGAGGGCATCAAAGGAAAAACAAATATTTGCTCTGGATCTTGGATATTTTCCTGGCACCCAGATGACACTTCCTCCTGTGGTTCTCCCAGCTCCCCTCCCCCTAAAGACAAAAACACGTGCCTGGGCCCCAGATCAGTAGAGTCCGGCAAAGCCTCCGCGACCCTCTGCCTGGAAGTCTGACCTCCCAGGGGCACCATGAGGGCAGGGCAAGCGGGCACGCTCCGATGCCAGGGCGCCTCTGCCTTTTATGTACAGAGTTGCCCCGTGGGATTTCAAAGTATTGCAAATGAGGCAGTCTGTTTCCTCCACTGGTAGGTGGGGACGCAGACCAAGAGGAGTGGTGTCTGCCCGGTGTCTGCTTAGTGGCAAGCCTGCATGGTCAGCTCCTGCCGTGTCCAGCTGAGGCCCTGGATGACCAGGGGCTGAGTCCTGGGCTGGGAATTGGCCTTGAGATGAGCCCGGGCTTGCTTCTGCGCACTGTCATTCCAACCACTCTGCGGCCTTTCTCAGCGCCCCAGGCGATGCTCGGGGTGGGAGGAGGCACGGGGAACCGCCCCTCCCACCCCCACACACACAGACTCTGTTGAGGGATCCTGGGTAGCGGAATTACACAACCAGCTTTTCAATCAGGCCTGTCTAGGAGGCTCAGGGTTAAGAGAAGAGGGCTCAGATGGCAGCCCCATTGCTTCCCGGCCGTGGGAACTCTGTACCTCAGTTTTCCCATCTGTAAAGTGGCGCTGTAAGAGTCCTGCGTTCTCCGGGGGTTAAAGGTGATCTGTGTACAGTGCTCAGCACAGTGTTCTCACCCCCCCCCCCAGCCCCTGCCATCTGGATCCATCCTGCCCAGAGAAAGCGGGTGGACGGTGCTCAGCTTCCCAAAGCCACACTGCCTTGTCTTCTGCTTTGTTCAGACTCCTTAGCTCCCCTTTGGCCCCAGCTCCAGAGAAGGGCTCCGGCCTGGCCAGCTGCCAAAGGCTTGCTGGGCGGGACGCTGCCCTCCCGGCTCCTCCTGCACCTGCCTGCTCAGCACTGGGGAGGGAGGCTGCAGGCGGCTCTTGTCCTTGGGTTCCAGCCAAGCCACACAAGAGGGCTGGGCAGGGAAGCTCTTGCCTGCACACTGGCAGAGGGGGCTGGAGAGTAGCATGGTGGGGTGGGGGGGGCGGCACACTGTGGGGCTCAGGCTCCCCTCAGAGCCCATTCCTGCTCCTGGCCTGTCGTCTGGCAGGTCTGGTGGTGTGGCAAGCCACCCCCGTGCCCACCTCTACTCTGCCCAGTCTAGGCCAACCTGGCCCAACCTCTCCTCCTCTATCTAAGTGGGTCATCCTCCACCTCCTTGCCCCACCTCCCAGACAGCAGCTGCTCTGGGAAAAGCCAGAGAGGAGTCAAAAATTTTGGCTGTGGCTCTGGGCAACAACTATGACCAGCAATGTCCAGCTTACAGCCTCTCTCCTGGTACCTGGGTTCTTGGGAGGGAGGCGGTGTTTACCAGCTGAACCCCAGCACCCACCTCTGCAAAGAAGCGGGTAGGTTTGACTGTGAGTGGAGTGGGGGTGGCTGGTGGTCCCACACAGCCTGGCCCAGGCCAGATGTGGAGCACGCCTTTCTCCAGGGTGGGAGGCCGGACAGGGTGTCTCCAAGGATGACCCACTTTCATCTTCTGCGGGCGACACCTTCCGTTTTAGGTCCTGACTCTGATGCGCGTGTTGGGAGCCTTGGGAAAGTTGGTGCCCTTTCTTGACCTTCAGTGTTGCCATTCGCACCGCGGCGCAGGGAGTTACACCTGCTGCCTTTCCAGCACGCTGGGGCACAGAGGCAAGAAAGTCATTGGAATGGTATCAGTGGGAACTAACGCTCGGGTTCTGTGGCCGCAGGATAGATGCTCTGAGCAGGCCCCGTCCTGGAGCAGTAGCAGGGGAGCCATTTCTATTTAAAAGTATTTACTTCATTTATTTGAAAAGCAGAGTGACAGAGAGAGACTCAGAGAAAAAAAATCTTCCATCTGCTGGTTTACTTTCTCAAATGCTGGTGACAGCCAGGACTGGTCCAGCCTCGAACGCCATCTGTGTCTCCCATGTGGGTGGCAGCCCGGGCCCAAGCACTTGGGCCGTCGTCCACTGCCTTCCTAGGAGCTGTTAGCAGGGCGCTGGATAGGAAGTAGAGCAGCCGGGACGCCCCTGGCTGGGAGCTGGCATCACAGGTGTTGGCTTAACCTGCTGCGCCACAACGCCAGCCCTCAGGTGACCCGTTTCTGAAGATACTCGGCGTAGACGCTGGAGTTTGAGGGGAGCTTGGCGGTCCTTTCTATCCTTTGCTCAAAGCTTTCTTCCTGCCTGGAATACCCTCAGCTTAGCACACCTCAGTTATCCATCAAAGTCTCAACCCGTCTTCTCCCAGGGCTGCTTTCCCATGCTCCTCCAAGCAAAGCAAGCTCCGGGCCGTGCCTCCGCAGCCCCTCAGCAGCAAGAGCCCCAGCTGGCACGGCTCACAGGGACCGGAGGTGGCTGCGCGGTTCTGCCGCCGCCGGGCTGAGGGCCGGCCTGCGGGGACTGAATCTCCAGCCCCTAGCACAGTGCCAGCCCCCGGCAGGCATTAGCAGCTGCTTGGAGAGTCAGAACCCTTTACTTGTCAGACGAGGACACTGAAGCCAGCCAGTCCAATTAACCGATCACGTAAGTGCCTTGTCTTGAGTTGCAGAGCTCGATAGAGGAAATAAGGGCTCCGGGCTCGTGGCTCGCTCCCCGGCTCGGGTGTTTATGCCTGCATTGGCTTCTTTGGGCCTGACTGTCCTCTCCAGTCTGAGCAGGGAGGCCCCGTAGTACACTGCATAAACTCGGATACTCTGGAGAGAAGGGGCAATATTAATAATTACACGAGGACAAGCCAGGGCACGTGCCCTTCCTGCTTCTGGGTAATCCATGCAGCTGCTGTTGTCCTCTTCTTTGGCTTTCGTCAGCTTATTTTTATTCTAGAAAATAGTTTCTCCGGCTACCTTGCAGATGAGAACAAAGGTCCTTAAAAGGTCGACTCCTCCCGAGGCTGGGAAGAAGAGGGGAAAATCTTATCTGGGCACTGTGCCTATCAGTCACAGATCAGCCCAACAAATATTTATTTGTGACCTATGGTCACCGGTCAGCCGTATGCAGAGCTCTGTCCAGACCTGAGCTGGCGGTGTGTCTAATTTAGTTTGACAGGCTGAGCCAGCAGCTAGCCAGAGGCTTGGCTGTGGGGCTGGGATGGGTTGGGGAGCAGAGGCCAAGCTCCACAGGGCAGTGATCCGTCAGTCGCCTGCTTAGGTGGAGGCCTGATGACACAACTTGGTTCCTCCCTGGGAAGTCCAGCCCAGCTGGGACCAAGTGTCGATAGCTGGGCGTGTGTGTGTGTGTGTGTGTGTGTGTGTGTGTGTAGGGGTCCTTCCCCTACCCCTGAGGCTAGGATACAGGCTTACAGGAGGGTGGCTGTGTTCACTGCAGGTTAGCAGTTCTGGTGTAAAATCTCTGGCTTCCAGCGTTGAAGGAGATCCACCCTAGAATTCTACGTGCGCTCCTCCACCCAGCCAGGCTCAGGTGTCACCCTGAGCACCCCTTTCCTTTAGGGAGACTCATTTCTTTGAGGCTTTGCCTTCAGGGCTCTGTCCCCCAAGTCTGACGACTAGCTCACTGTATGTTTGTGCACTCACGCTGTACATGCAGGATGTGCCTAGTTTTGCATATGCGTACATCACAAGCTCTCAATTTTTTTTTAGTTGATTTATTTATTTGAAAGGCAGAGTGACAGAAAGAAAGGGAGAGGCAGTGAGAAGGAGAGAGGGATTTTCCATCTGCTGATTCCCCCGCTAAATGGCTACAACTGGGGCGGGGCAAGGCCAAAGCCAGGAGCCAGGAGCAGGAACTCCATGCTGGTCTCCCACATGGGTGGCTTGAGCCGTCACCTGCTACCTGCCAGGGTGCGCGTCAGCAGGAAGCTGGATGGGAAGCGGAGGCAGGACTGGATCCCAGGCGCTCCGAGTGGGATGCTCCACAATGCCCCTGATCTGAAATGCTTTTCATTGCCTAGATGAGATCCCTGCTTGGACACGATTGTTTTGACTATCCACCGATAAACATTTTATGGCCCTTTGTTTCTGAAGAGCTCCTAACACTTTGTGATTTTACAAAGAATTTTTACAGAGAAACTAGTTCAGTAAACTCTCCCGTTCCAGGAGGGGCAGTGGGCTGCAGAGGGTCGTGGGAGAAGCAGCGGATTCGAGCCCTTCACCCCTCCCCCCACACGGCCGCCCCACTGACAGCCCCTAGCTCGCTGGGGACAGAGGCCAGGCTGGAGCCCAAGGCAGGAGTGGGGGTGGGGAGTGGGAGTGGGGGTGGGGGGTGGGGTGGGCGGGCAGCCCCGTCCCCTGCAGCTGCAGCGGGGCCTCTCCCGCGTCTCGGGGCCGAGGCTCCATGGTGACCATCCCTCCCACCAGCCATTGTCCTCGCTGCCCTTCTCGGGCGGGCGGAGCGCGGGGCCTCCGCGCGCTCCCGCTCCGGGGCGCGGGGCGAGGGGCGAGGGGCGCGGGGCGCGCCGCCTTGGCGTTGCCGGGGTGACGGCCGGCCGGGGCTTTGTGAGCGGCTCCTCGGGCGGGATTAGGGCTGTTCCGCATTCTTGTGCCGAGCGCGGGCGGAAGCCATTGTCTGCTCCGGAGCCTTGTGAAAGGGGGATTAGAGGCCGCCCCGAGCCGGGCCTTCCTTTCTTCTGGGTCCCTTTGAGTCCCGAGAGGAGGCCCGCCCTCCGGGGGCACCGGCGGGGGCGCGGGTGTCCGCGGGCGGTGTCTGCAGAGCGCCCGAGCCGCGCGTGTGTTCACCCCTGCGCCCTTGCGCAGCACCTGCCGGGAACTGACCGGGCCCCGACACCCCGCCCCCACGCCGCGCGCCCGGGGCCCGGGACCCTCGGAGGGCTCAGTTCGGAGAATCCGGGCAGGGACGCCCCGTCGGACGTTTTAGCGCACCTGCCTAATCCACAGGAAAGGAAACAGGCTCCGAGACCGGGCTGGGTCCTGCCCACGGGGACAGGGACCTGGGAAGCCCGGGTCCCCTGGTGGCGCACTCCAGGCCCCTGGCGCCGCTTGCTGTCATTAGCTCCCTTCCTGGCAGTCGCCGCCCCTGCTGCTGGGTGGGGTGCAGCAGAAATGACACCTAGAGCTGCTAGGCTCTTCCCCCAGTTCCGCACTCCCCACTGGCTCACTCAGCCCTTCCTGTCCCCGCCGCAGGGCCGGCCCAGGGCTTCACCCTCACTTGGCATTTCTCCCGGAAGCAGGGAAATCACCTGGCTTGGAGAGACTGCTCTTGGTGTTTTCTTTTTTCTTCCATGATTAGAGGTGATTTTAAAATAAATAAATAAATAAATATATATGTATATTATAAAATGTGCCATTTTAGTGAAAAATTCAGCGGTCTAAGCACATTCCTGATGTGTGAACCCTCACCACTATCCATTTACACTTTAGCATCATTCCAAACAGCAGCTCTGTTGCCATTAAATAATAAGTCCCCAATGCGCCCTCCACCCCACCCCTGCGATGTCCCGCGCTCTGTCTCCATGACTTGCCTGTTCTAGGTACCACATGGAAGTGGCATAATAAAGTGTGTGTCCTTGGGTGACCGACTTCTGTCATGTAGCGTAACATTTCTGAGGTTTGTCCATTGGGAACGGTTAGAATTTCGTTCCTTCTCCTGGCTGGGTAATATCCCGCTGTGTAAATATACCAAGTTTGTCCGTTCGCTGATTGATGGACACTTGGGTTGTCTCCACCTTTTGGCTAGAGACTGGTTGTTTATAGCAGGCAGAGTGACTTGGCTGAAACAACCAAACGTGGAGTCGGAGGGCCGGTAATCTAACTGCCCTCCACCCCCACCCCAGCCCCGCTGGTGCCAGTTAGTGACCCGCTGGCTCTGGGCAGGTCATTTAACCTCCCTGGGTCCCAGGTTCCTGATCTGGGAGTTTCCCGCATGCACTGGCCATGCTTGCTGTGCCAACCTCCCGGAGCTGCTGTGAGGCCCAGTGCATTTTTCTAATGCCATGGTTGTGCAGCACCTACTGTGTGCTGGGCCCTGTGCTCAGCGCCAAGGACCCACCAGCGAGAAAAGCGAGCCCGGTGTTATGCTCGAGGTGCACGTGGCCTTTGTAAACCCGGAAGCATCAGCCTCGGGCACGCGGGAGGCCACCTTCCTTGTCCATCTGAGGGTACGGTGGCCCCGCTGCACCTAACCCAGGTGGGGACCTCTGGAGAGAGGGGCTCCCCAGCCTGTCTGCCACCCACCCTGGGCACGGGGCAGGGGACTTCTCTGGGGGTGTCCTGTGGCCTCTGCAGCAGCTGCAGGCACATCCTCAGCCGCCTGTGCTCTCTGTTCCCAGGTGGCCATCAAGTCCATCCGGAAGGACAAAATCAAAGATGAACAGGATCTGATGCACATTCGACGGGAGATAGAGATCATGTCGTCGCTCAACCACCCCCACATCATTGCCATCCATGAAGGTGCGGCGCTGGGGCGTGTGGAGCTGGGGACCGCGGTGTGTGTGTGTGCGTGTGTGTGTGCGTGTGTGCACGTGTGCAGTAGAGGTTGGAGCAGATGACTCAAAGACCTACAAAGGCACGAGCTTTGAGGCTGGGTAGTACCTGGATTTGAAACCCAGCTGTCTGACCCCCGGCCGCTCATTTCATTGCATGCGCCTGGGCCTTGGTTCCTCATTTGTGGCCCTGCGGCTTCCTCGTTTATAAGAAGGAACGAGCCCACCTGCGTCACGGGGTGGTTGCAAACATCGAACCGCATGACGTCACCCAGTGCTCCGCTCCTGGGAGGTACTCAAGGAATGGCTCCCTCTTTGAACACTGCCTCCCAGCCCGGTGAGATCCCCAGCAGTCCAGGGGCCTCTGAAACACACTGCACCCGTCTCCGGCGTGTGGGTGCTGTGCTTCCCAGAGCCAGGCCTCCCCGAATCTGGCCCGTGCTCTGAGTCATTCCCGCCACAGGGCTGGCTCGCGCCTCTCTGCGCCGCTCCAGCCTCCTCTCCTCTGACATCAGTGCTGGTCCCGCCGCTCCAGCTGCCCTCCGCCCTGTGGCCCAGACAACAAAGCGAGCAAGAGAGGGTGCGGAGGGGAAGAGGGGCAGCGCCCTCCCCCACACACCTGTCTGTGCCAAGCCTTTCCATAATGTCAAGTGGCTGGGAACACGGGGTGACAGTGGCAGCAGGAGGCCCCTCTGTCTGAATATTCTGGGCTGGGGGGGACAAAGAAGTCTGCACTCCCAGGTTCTGTTCATAGGAAGAGCCAGGGCAAGCCGCTGGCCTGGCCCCGGTACCTGAGCCTGTCCATGGGCGTCCAGGCAAGTGGCTGAGAAGGCTAATTGTCTTTCTGGGGACTTCCCTCAGGGAAGAGGGGGTAGACGACAACGCATTGGCGAAGCCAGGCGGGCAGTGTGCGTGCACCTGTGTGTCTGGCGTCTCCCCCACACTACGGCTGGGTCTGGGAACTGAGCTCTGAACTCAGGATGTGGCTTCCCTTGCACCCCAGATTCCGCAGACGCAGGGTCGTCACAGCTGTGTGTGGAAGGGCTCCCGCAGGTTCATCCCCAACCCCCTGTATGCTGCAGCGCTGTGGGCTGGAGCGAGGCACTCTAACCCTGCTGCTTTCCAAAATGCACCCTGGCTGGGTCTTGACCCACAACTTCCTGGTGCAGAGATTGCAAGCACCCCCGAGTGATATCTAGAACCACAGGGTGGGGTCTTAGCCAGGCACCCCCAGGAGGCAGGGCCACCATGGGTCAGGGCCACTTACCCATGTGTTCCCGGAAGGAAGCAAACACAGCCCTTCCGGCCTTGGATCCTGTTGCCTGGGAGCTGGGTCTGCTCTGAAGGGAAGATCCTCTCTCAGCTCCTGCTCACAGGTCGCAGAGCAATGGCCCTGGGGCCGGCTGAGCAAGCCAAACTCCTAGGACCCGTTTAGCACGAAGATGCAGTGTCAGGGACCACAAGTTCTGACACACACCCAGTTGAAGGGCCAGTTTGGTGAACCACACCCGACGTTACCAGTAGACTGGAGCCAGGACAGGGCCAGCAGTGCAAGAAGGCCCCTCTCCTACACGTGGAGGGGGGCCAGCGGTGGGTGGGCTGACTGCCAGGAACCCAGGCAGTCTGTTAATTACCAAATGTGTAGTGCTTGCTTCTGTAAGTGAGGCCTCGTCCACGGGGCCCTGGCCCGGATGCTCCCCGATGCAGGGAATGAGTATCTGGGCTCTGCGTGGTGCCTTTCTTTCTTTTTTTTTAAATCTGTTTCCCATCCTGGTCCTGTGCAGTTGCCACGATTATCCCACTTTTCCAGTGAGGAAACCGCGGCCCAGTGGTTGAGTAGCTTGTCTCAGATCGCCCAGCAAAGCTGCATTCGTACTGCTCCACCTGGAAGAGATTTGCCCAATGTCACAATGGTGATAAAGTACGTTCTGAGCCTTCCGCTCTCAGCCGGCGGTGCCCCCAGGAGGCTGCAGAACCTCACAGCCTGAATTTCCAGGGAGAGAGAGGGTGTGCCACCGCCACCCGTCTGAGGTCATTGCTCCAAGGCCCTTCGCTTCCCCTTCTTCGCCAGCCTGCGGCCCCATTAGCAGACATCCCTACAGGGAGGTCGCGTCTGGTGTGTGACCGGGGCGGGGAGTGGGGACGACAGTGCGCTCTGGCAGGGCCTGACGTCCCTGGCGTCCTTGCTCCGCACAGTATTCGAGAACAGCAGCAAGATCGTGATTGTCATGGAGTACGCCAGCCGGGGCGACCTGTACGACTACATCAGCCAGCGGCAGCGGCTCAGCGAGCGCGACGCCCGGCACTTCTTCCGGCAGATCGTCTCCGCCGTGCACTACTGCCACCAGGTGAGCCAGGGCGCGGTGCGTGGGGCTCGGGGGCTGGCTTGCACCCGAGAGATTCCAGGGTCACCCAGGGCGACAGCGGCGCAGGCCAGGCTGGATTCTGGGCTCCGGGACAGAGAAACGTGGGTTTCTCTGGCTCTGAGTCCCTCGGCCGGGATGGGGGGGCCATCCTGTGCTCAGATGAGACCCCTCAGCCCCGTCCCTTCCCGGGTGACCCTCCCCTGACTGTACCCCCTGCGTCTTCCAGAACGGGGTTGTCCACCGAGACCTCAAGCTGGAGAACATCCTCTTAGATGCCAACGGCAATGTCAAGGTGAGCCCCTTGCCGCGTTTCCTGAAGCCTGCCCTCCCCTCCCTGGCTCTTCTGCCCTGTCCCCAGTCAGGCAGCCCTAGGTTCTTAGCGGGCTCCTACAGTTGCTGGAATTTGCTCAGGTCGGACTTCTGTGTCGGTGCTGGTTGGGACCTCATTCATCCGCACCATAGATCATTTGTCGGCTGGAGAACAGAGGGCACAAGATGAGGGTGCCGCTTGCACAGGGCTGGCGAGTGGCCGAGCTGGGCTAGTTAGGACCAAAGTTTCCAACTCCCAGATATGTGTTCTTTTGATGTCACAAGGCTGGTGGATCTTGATCAAAGGTTAGCTTTGATGTGACCTTGTGCCCAGCAGAGAGAGGTGCGTGGCCTGAGACGTCCCCGCCCCATCCATACATGCACACTGGCACGTACACACACATCTTCAGTCTGCGGCACTAAGGTAACCCTTTGGCACCTGTCCCCAAGGACAGGCCCTCGAACACCAGCTTCCTGCTTCATGCAGCCGCAGCGCTGCCATGTCTGGGAAGTGAAATTTAGCTAAGGAGAAAATTCCTGTTGATAGGATAAGCTGAGACCTCAGGGCCAGGTGGCGAGAGCTGTCTCAGGCAGGGAGACTGGCCCTGCAGGCACCTGGGGGGACTGTACGCTCTGGTCCCCCCCCCCAGAGTCCTCCTGAATCCAGGACATAGTGGGTTTTTGTTTTTTAAGATATATTTATTCGAAAGGCAGAGTTAAAAAGAGAGAGAGAAAGAGACAGAGAGAGAGAAAGATCTTCCATCCTCTGGCTCACTCCCCAAATGGCCACAATGGCCAGGGCTGAGCCTGTCCAAAGTCAAGAGCCAGGAGCCTCCTCTGGGTCTCCCATGTGGGCGCAGGGGCTTAAGCACTTGGGCATTTCCCACGTGCATTAGCAGGGAGCTGGATCAGAAGTGGAGCAGCTGGGACTCGAACCGGTGCCCACAGGGGATGCTGGCACTGCAGGTGGCAGCCCCACCCACCACACCACAGCCCTAGCCTCCAGGACGCAATTTCTTCAGTAGTTCTTGACCTGCGCCCTGATGAGTTCTGGTACTGAGTTCATTGGCCTTACCCAGCCAATTCCCGGAGCAGGTGGGGCTTGCTTTGATGCCAGCCAGGAGGAAGGTAGCCAGAGCGATAAACCCACATAATGTAGACAGTCAGGAGCTTTCCTACCCATACCCATCATGTGCCTCCTACGGCCTTTGCCTGCTCGCTGCTGGGATAGATAACAAGTAATAAAGCCATAAAGAAAGGAGCCCGAGTCTCACAAACACCCTCCCCACCCTGGGCACACATGGGCCTGTGGTGCGGTGGCGGGGTGATGAGCAGCCGGGCATTGGCCTCAGCCTCTGACTGAGGGCTGATGGGAAAGGGTCCCCCAAGGAGCGAGAACACGGCAACCTGCAGGAAGGGGCCTTGGCCTGGGCACAGGCACAGCCTGGTCTTTGTTCTGCCCTCACCATTGCTTCTTGGCTATACTGGGCTGACCCCAGGTCACAGCCACCACGTTCCCACCCAGGTGTGGACAGAGATCTGAGCTCCTTGCTAGGAGGGGCAGTTCCAGCCTGCTTACCTCCAGCTTGCCGTTGAGGGCCTTGGTGTTGGCACCAGGGGCTGGCTCTCCCCCGCCGTCGGGCTGACCCTCCTCTGGTCAGTAAGTGCCCACGGAGCCTCATAGGGGTCTCGCCTGTGCTGGGGAGGGGGGCACAGCATGGGCGTGTGCAGTTGTGGCTGGGAGGCAGCACTGATGAGCAGGGGCTCAGGGCAGCAGGGGGACCTGGAGGGCTTCCCAGGGGAAGATCCCAGGGCAATGGAGGGCTCCCTGGGGGGTGGGCTTGCAGGATCAGGAGGGTGTGCATGAGCAGGGGGAGTACTCGGGTAGCCCATAGTTGAGCAAAGGGAGCTGGGGGCCAGTGACGAGCCGGGGCTCCCCACTCTGCCACCTTGTGCTCCCCAGGGCTCATTCTTCCAGGGCCTGAGCTCCATGGACAGTGCCCGGTGTGGGATAGGGTCCTGGGGTCTGTTTCCTCTTGCTCGGTTTCCCCTAGCTCCGGAGAGGGGTGGGCCAAGAGCTGCAGAACAACCCATGTGTTGGCCTGACCGTGTCCATGTTTGACCCAACCCTACAGATTGCCGACTTTGGCCTCTCCAACCTCTACCACCAAGGCAAGTTCCTGCAGACGTTCTGCGGGAGCCCGCTCTACGCCTCGCCCGAGATCGTCAATGGGAGGCCGTACACGGGCCCAGAGGTTAGTGCGTCCTCCTCTGCCAGCCCGCCCTAGCCATCCGCTGTGACGTCAGATACGGGCCCGTTTTCCACTTGGAACTCAATCGGTCCTCCCCCAGAGCCGCTGCTTGCCAGGCCAGCATTTGCTCAGAAACCCAGAGGTGGCAAAGCTGGAACTAGAACGGAGGCCCCCGACTCCCATCTGGTCCCTTGCCCCTTTGACTTCGCCCCAACCTCCAGTCCAAGCTCCCCCCTGTGACGCAAGAGGGGCATCTGTCAGAGCCACCCCACCCTGGCCGGGAAGGGGAGGCTGCAGACAGCGTCTCCCCCAGAGCCTCGGTGCCCCATGTCCCGGGTTTGAGGGGGTGCTCGTCCTCTGGTGACTGACTCCGGGGTCCCAGCGTGTCCCTTCTCTTCCATGGTGTTGAGGGTGAGGCTGGCGGCCGTCCCCGCCCGGCACTGCTCGAGCATCCTGGCTGATCCTCTGTCTCTCCTGCAGGTGGACAGCTGGTCCCTGGGCGTTCTCCTCTACATCCTGGTACACGGCACCATGCCCTTCGACGGGCAGGACCACAAGACGCTGGTGAAGCAGATCAGCGATGGGGCCTACCGGGAGCCCCCGAAGCCCTCTGGTGAGTGGATGGCACTTCCTTCCCTTATGGGCATGGTTGGTTATCTTTGGCAAGTGCATCCTAAAGTCTAGCTTAGATCTCCTTGCTACAGTTGCCCCATTTCCTATTGCTTCTGTCCTCGTCCCTAGGAATCCTTTGTCTTATGATGGGGGAGAGGAGGAGAGTGTGCACAGACAAGGGCTAATGACGGGGTCACCGTCCTGAGAGGGGGTGGAGCAGAGCGGTGACAGCAGAGTCAATCCAGGGACACCCAGTGGGGAGCCAGCCTGGGCCGTGGCACCTCTGGGGCCCGGGGCAGGAGTGCCCATGTCTGAAGTGGGCAAGAGCACTGTCTTAGTTCAAGCAGGGCTGGTCGGCCCCTGCTGTCCTGCTCTCAGGACCACCAACCCACTGACCGATGCCTTTGCATTTCGTCTTCCAGATGCCTGTGGCCTGATCCGGTGGCTGCTCATGGTGAACCCCACCCGCCGGGCCACCCTGGAGGATGTGGCCGGTCACTGGTGGGTCAACTGGGGCTACGCCACCCGCGTCGGGGAGCAGGAGGCCGCGCACGAGGGTGGACACCCAGGCAGCGACTCTGCACGCACCTCCGTGGCTGACTGGCTCCGGCGCTCCTCCCGCCCCCTCCTGGGGAACGGGGCCAGGGTGTGCAGCTTCTTCAAGCAGCACGCGCCTGGGACGGCGAGCACCAGCCCGGGCCTGGAGCGCCAGCACTCGCTCAAGAAGTCGCGCAAGGAGAACGACGTGGCCCAGGCCCGCCAGGGCGCCCCAGCCGACGACACCGCCGCGCGCTCCGGCAAGAGCAACCTCAAGCTGCCCAAGAGCATCCTGAAGAAGAAGCTGTCAGTCTCCTCGGATCCTCGGGAGCCCGGCCCGGGCCCCGCCAGCGCAGGGCAGGCGGAACCCCCGCTCCCCAGGAAAGGCATCCTGAAAAAGCCGCAGCGCGAGTCCGGCTACTACTCGTCCCCGGAGCCCAGCGACTCGGGGGATCTCCTGGATGCAGGTGACGTGTTTGTGAGCGGGGACCCCCCGGTGCAGAGGGCCCCCCCAGCCTCAGGGCTGCTCCACCCCAAGGGCATCCTCAAACTCAACGGCAAGTTCTCCCGCGAGGCTTCAGATCGCACGGCCCCCACCGCCTTCGGCTCCTTGGACCAACTGGCCTCTCCACGAGCCCCGCCCCGGGCCAGCCGGCCCTCGGGGGCCGTGAGTGAGGACAGCATCCTGTCCTCCGAGTCCTTCGACCAGCTGGACCTGCCCGAGCGGCTCCCAGAGCCCCCGCTGCGGGGCTGTGTGTCTGTGGACAACCTCTCCGGGCTGGAGGAGCCCCCCGCGGGGGGTCCTGGCAGCTGCCTGAGGCGCTGGAGGCAGGACCCCCTGGGGGAAAGCTGCTTCTCTCTGACGGACTGCCAGGAGGTGACACAGACCTACCGCCAGGCCCTGGGGGTCTGCTCTAAGCTCAGCTGAGGGTGCCCGGCAGGCTCCAAGATGCAACGAACTGGCGGCACCCTAGGGGGTGGTGCCTGAGCCCCGGGCGGGCGGGCAGGCAGCCTGCAAAGGAAGCATGGTAGGGGTCTGATGCCTTCAGCCCCAGGAACCAAGATGATAGGCAGAAAGAGTGGAGAAGTAGGCGCAAGGGAAAGGCCTGGGCGTCTTCTGCCTGTGTTTTGTGCACGGGTTAGGGGACAGGGGACAAGCAGGGAGACCTAGAAGGAGCGCCTGCCCTAGCCGTGCCCGTCGCTTTCACCTGCTGTGAATGAGTTTTCCAGGTGGCGCCTGCCAAGGGCAGCCTCTTCCCTACTCTTCCTGTGCCCGAGTGGGGCTGGCACACACACACACACACACGCGCGCACCGCCGGCCACTAGAACTGGAACGTGGCGCCTCTGCTGTGCTGGGGGTGGCCTGCAGTAACCCTTCCTTATTTATCCCAGCAGCCAGAGAGCGCAGCGGCCGCGGCTCTCTCCCCTTCCCCCTTGAGCCCGAGCCCCCTCGAGTCGCTGCTATGGACCTCAAAGGCTTGGCAAGGCTCGGGCTGCTGTGCAGATTTCATCTCAAGGGGGCCGGACTCCTCCGGACGCCCCCTGGGACCTCAGAGACCCACAAGTTCTGCCTCTAAGCTGCTCCCGAACTCTGGACTATGGATGGATGCATCTCTGGGCTTTCAGACCCTACAGTGTCCTTATTTATTTTTATGATCTCAACTGTTTTGTTATTAAAAAAAAAAAGTGAATCTTGCTGATTTTATTAATGTGAATGCCGCGTTCTGGGGAGACCCGTGAAGACATCTGAGTTGCGTGTGTAGAGGGAGATTGTTGCGATGATTCCCCTCTGAGCACGGGGAGGGGAGGGTCCGGGACTCCCCATGTCCCATTGCGGTGTCTGGAGGCAGGGAGGTGGCCTCCCGCTCCCCTCACTCCACACCCTGACTGTCCACCAAATGATCCCGCTCTGCTTGCTGTGTAACGGGGAAGAGCCACTCCATTAAAACCAGAGAGGCGATTGGCAGCCGGCCTCCCTCTGTCTCTTTGGCGGAGAGTGGAGGCACAGGTCTGTGAGCCTCCCCCTGGGCTGCCCCGTGGGAAATAGAGAAGGTTTATTCAAAACAAAGCCAAAGGCCCCCCAGCTCTGAACTGCCCAAAGCAGCTCCAGCGTCAGCCAGCCCAGCGCGGTGTGGTGGGGGGAGCAGCCCAGGGCTCTAAAGAGACAACTAGATCCCCGCCCCCACCCTCCCCTTCCTCTCCTCCTGCCCCTCCCCCACCGGCTTGGAGCCCCCTGCTGTCTCCCACAGCCTCTGTTCTCACATCCACCCCCAGAAATCCCCTTTTCCTCCAGTGCCTGGCAGCTTCTCCCCTCCCCCAACCCCTCTGCCAGACTCCTAGAGGAAGTCAGGAATGCATGGAATGTCCACCCCCCACAGCCCGCCCCCTCGGCCCCCTGCAGAGCATTCCCGGCACGCCAGCTCCATTGAGAAACTCCCAGGCTTTGAGGGCTGTGGACTCCGGAGAGGATGAGGACAAAGTCTGGGGCTGGCAGCCGGCTGGCTCCGGCCCCAAGCAGGCTCCAGCCCCAACCCTGACCTGCTCTGGTGTTCCCAGGTTCCTGGTCTGGCCAGCCCCTGTGCCCTGCGCCACAGCACTCCTGTCCGTCTGCCCAGAGAGCTGGCAAAGTCACCGAGTTTGGGGAAGGGCGAAGCAACTGTGGGGTCAAGATGGCAGCACCAAGAAGAAATTGCTTAGGCCACAGCCCGGGGAGTTCTGGGCCTGACATCTCTCACGTCCCATGCGGGAGTGCTGGGACTCTGGGCTAGGCTGCCGGCAACCCCAGTGAAGCCCCAGGGTGGGTCTTTACCCCATGCAGCTGCAGAGGTCAGGTGCTCATTCATTCATTCATTCCCCTTCCGAATGAAGCCCTACTGTGGGCGTGGACCACAAAGGCAGGAGGCTGTGCACCGGAGGGCTAGTGAGCTAAGCGTCCTCAGTCCAGGCCCCGGGACTGCACAGGCACCGCCAGCTGTGAGTGCCCTTGGGGGCCGCTCGTGAGGGCTCTCACTGCACGCTCACCTCCGCGTTGCCAGCTCGGAAAGCATTCTGTAGGCTGTCCGGCTGAGCAAGTGGCAACACCAGGCCTCCACCCAGACCTGGGAGCTGCCAGTCTTGGGGGGCCGGAGCCCACAGAGTGGGCTTGGGTTTGGAGAATGGAATAAAGGAATAGAAGGGAATGGAACTGTAGATATTGACTGGGCCTCTCTGACACGCCAAGCCCTTTTCCAGACACGGGAATACAGCCATTTCACCCCCCCAGAGGGAGCCAGGCAAGAGGGCAGTGAGTGGGCCCAGGGAGAAGCTGAAAGGGCGGTGGTGGGGGTGACAAGAGGGGGCTCACAGCGAAGCGAGGGCCTGAGTCCAACGGAAACCTGAGTTCGGGATTGGGGGGGGGAGGAGGGCTCAGTCCCTTCCACCAGCTCTGGCTCAGCGGGGTTGGGGGGCCCCCAGGTGTTTGGTCCTGAGGTTTGTGTCCCCCTGTGGTCTGTTTGCTTAACCTCCTCAAGGGAGGGGTGGGCAGGGAGGTGTGTCCCAGTGGGAAGAGAATATCTATGACCTCAGCTCCAAAGGGACCTGGACTTGAGGCCGCTGGATCCTGAGCCTCACCTGCCAGGATGCTTCATACCAAAAACATTCCAGAAAGAAGGCTCAGAGAGGACGCTGGGCCCCAGGGGAAAAGGCTGAAGCTGCAGGAATATTTAGTGCCACATCAGTGCTTCCGGAATGTGACGAACGCAGACAACAAGTGGCGGTGGGAGGGCAACCTGGGAGAGGGGAGGAGAGGGCCTTCTGAACTCCCCGGGCAGGTGCAGGCGCAGGCAGCCATGAATGGGAGCTCGCGAGCTCGCAAGCTTGGCTCGGCGGTACTGAGGCTTCCCTGTGCACAGGGAGGCAGGCACGGTCTGCACGTCAGGGGGACCTGCACTTCCTCTGCTCCATCCGGCCGACCCTTGGGGGACCCCCTCCCGGGGGGATGAGGAGAAAGGGGAGCCCAGAGCAGCCCGGATGTGTGGGAAGCAGCAGCCCCCATAGAACCTGCAGTGGGCTGTGCGCCTCCTGGAGCAGCCTCTGCCCTGCCAGGCAGAGTGACTCAGCTAAGAGCACACCTCGCCTGCAGGACCAGCCCAGGACAAAGGACTGGCTGAAGAGCCTGGGTGTTTCTATTTACCACTTGTTTATTTTCATTTATTTGAAAGGCAAAGGGAGAGTGAGAGAGGAGTTCTTCCAATCACTGGGTCACTCCCCCAATGCCCACAACAGACAGGGCTGAGGCAGTCTGAAACCAGGAGCCAGGAACTCCATCCCTATAGATCTCCCACGTGGGTGGCAGGGACTCGAGTACTTTGGCCATCATCTGCTGCCTCCCAGGGTTTGTCTTAGCAAGAAGCAGGATCAGAGGTGGAGTGGCCGAGACTCAAACTTGCACTCCAATACAGGATGCAGTTGTCCCAAGTGGTGACTTGACCCACGGCACCACAGTGCCTGCCCTGAGCCTGGGCATTCCTGAAGCAGGAGCAGGAAGTGGCAGGGGTGGGGTGGTAGTGGCCTGGAAGAATAAGCATGGTTCCCCACGGGTGGAGGCCCCCGAGACCAAGCATTCTCCAGCCGCTTGTCGTGAACGGGTGTACAAGGAGCTAACTTGGAAGCAAGTGGCCCCAGCAGGGAGCCCGTCCTGGAAAGAGACGATGGCACTTGGACTGGAGAAGAAGCAGTAAAGAAGTGAGGGGATGACATTGGCATTGGACGTGGGGAGTGAAGGGCAGGGACCCGGAGTCGCTCCATGAGGCTCGGCTTGCAACCTGGAGCGAGGATGGGTGTCTGCTCGCAGGTTTGAGGTGTGGGGTAGGCTCCGGGCACTTAGACTGACAAGATAAAGGCACACAGGCGCTGGAGCTGGGGGAGGATTTGGGCTAGAGATTCGGGAGCTCTTGCTAGAAAGAGTTACTGCTTCGTGTGAAACATCGAGGATCGTGATCGTCGCTGTTCCTCCCCGCTCTAGGGGTTCTCGGGTTTTATTACCTAGGAAAGCAGTTCCTTCCACAGCTGGCTCGTTGCTTGTAAAGAAGCCGGGGAGGCCGTGATGCTGAGCCCGGAGGTTAGGCCTTGCCTGGCTGGGCCTGGCTGTCAAGGATGGGAGGAGCAAGCCGGTGGGGAGGGGGGAGACCTTCGTTCCCAGAGGTTGGCCGCCCCGGGACTCCGCTTCTGTCTATGCAGGACAGGGACTTCTCAGGACCCTCCCGCTTCTTTTTCTTCTGGAAAACTGTAATTATTTATTTGAAAGGCGGAGTTAAAGACAGAAAGGGACACACACACACACACACACACACACAGATCTTCCATCCTCCGGTCCCCCGATGGCCACAACGCCCAGGGTTGGGCCAGGCTGAAGCCAGGAACTTCTTCTGGGTCTCCCACATGTGCGCAGGGGCCCAAGCATTTGTGCTATCCTCTGATGTTTTTCCCAGGCACATTAGCAGGGAGCTGGATCAGAAATGGAGCAGGTGGGACTTGGCACGAACCGAACCGGTGCCCAGATGGGATGGCGGCCTCACAGGCTGTGGCTTAACCCGATGCACCTAGCACCAGCCCCCACCCTCGACTTTGAAATTCCACAGCTGCATATTTTCAAAGCCAATCACAGATCTCATAAGAACGTTAGAAAGGTCACCCTTGGACCAAGGACGCTGCCTCCGACGCTGGCCCGCCGAGGGGCTGGGCTCACAGAGGCCTCCCGAGGCTCGGGCCTGTGCCCCAGAACCTGCTACAGATCCCCGGGGAGCCTAGGCACAGCCCGGCCGGGGCCCAGCACTCTGCGTTTTCACTGGCACGGCCAGTGGCTCTGTCCCACAGGGCCTGAGGACTTGCTCTAGGCCAGGGCCCGGAGGCAGCCTTCAGGGAGCCACAGCCTCAGGAGGAATTTCGCCCGGCGGCGGGAAACCTCGCTCTTTCTCCTGGGGCCTCTGAAATGTCCCCTCCCCCCAACTCTTCACAAAGGAATCCCCAGTCCTGGGTCCTGCTCCGTAGTCTCAGTTGTCCCCGCTCTCTCCACCCCTGCCCTGAGCTAATCCCACCTTCTCAGTTTCCCCATCTCCCCTGTGCAGGGGCCCACAGGTCAGCCGGGGGATGAGTCATCCGGCTGGGGGAGGGGCTCCCAGGCCATAAATGGGCAAAAGCCCAGCTGCAGGTTCCAGACTGGCGGGACAGCGCCATCTCCTCCGTGCCCCTCTCCCCGGGGGGAATTTCCCGGAGAGGAGGGAGGCTGCACCGGATGGAATTCTAGAAATAGCAGAGCTTTTGAGGAGCTGGGTTCCAGGCTGACTCAGCTTCCCTGATAAACAGACAGCTGCCGGCCAGGATTTTCCCAGCTGCAGAGGGAGGCTGAGCCCCCACTTCCTGGTGGAAGTGTTCTGCTAGGTCTGGCCAGCAGCACCTCCTCCCTGCTCCTTGAGATCAGAGCGCCGGCTGCAGGCTGCACTGACCCAGGCCCTGGCCCCTGGGGGACCTCTACAGCAGAACTGAACACCGTCCCTT